ACAATTTTCAACTTCAAAAGTTGACAGAGCAGAGATCAAGCTCCCATAAAGCAATTCACAGCCATAAATGAATGGAAAACACTTGTGAATCACAAAATGCAGAAACTGTAAATTAACAGATATTTATACAGCGTATGCTGTGGCAAACTGGTGGCTATAGAGTGCACTTCAGTCCACCAGTGAGAGAGCGCCAGGTGGAGTTGATCAGCTAATTAGCAGACCAGAACAGACTCAATTTAGAGTAGCAGTTGCTAACAGAGTAGAGCAGCAGTCGCTTGCTTGAATTCTTCTTGTGTAGAGCTAAGCTCACTACAACATAAGTGAAGAAGCAGCTGGTGAGTTTTAATATCATCTTTTTTTGTATTTAAGTTGGTCTCGATTGTGTTGTATCAATTGTATTTGAACATAGTGTATTTGGTTTGTTTGTCAGTTTTTGTATTTATTTGAAGCATTTTGTAACGATTTGATTTGGAATTTAGGGCTGGTTTTTACATATTGCGATTAAAAGCCATCAAGAGTAAATGTGTCAAGAAACTAAATGTGTACATACAGGTTTAACAATTTGTTTTTTATTTTCATGATATTTGTGCTAATTTCAAATGAAACTGGTAAACTATCCCTTTACCATGCATTCTGTCAGTTTAGTGAATTAATATGTTTCATTGGGCCTAGCGGAAATATAGAGTTGAGTATCACCATCCTAAGACTCGTACAACACCTGATCGGTGAGCGAATATAAAGAGACATTTTGAAGATGCGATCAAGGTATTGGCTGCTTTCAATTTTCTCTTGCAATCTCTGCTCACGGTCAGCCCTGCAAAGAGATTAATGGAAACTGACATCCTTGAAAAGCTGAAGTGGCCGCACATACATAGTGTGTGTGTGTGTGTGTGTGTGTGTGTCTCTCTGTGTGTTTTCTCAACAGGATTACAAGGAGTATCGCAGATTTAAAATGGCACAGTGTCAATATTTTTGTCAATTTTTGTACCTGAATGCTAATATGCAGGAATTCGCCACAGTGGAGCAGTTCTCAGGCATGTGATCAAATAAAGAAGGAAGACGCGACTCCCAAAAATAAAATAATAAATAAATAATATTCTTAATATAAATTTGTTATTGGCCACACATTTTAAGTATTTTTTTTTGTTTTATCAGTTTAAATGTTTTAGCAGTTTAATAGTGACCTAAGTAATATTTCATAGGTTTATACTTTGTACCTCAATGTCGAGACAGATCCACATACTGCCACTAGATGGCACCACTAACTCAGTTAGTTCTCCTGTGTCCACAAAATATAACTTTCCTTGTAATTTAATCAACTCTTTATTCCAACGTGATTTAAAAAACTACTAGTCAGTCAACAATCGAACTGTAAAATATGAAGTCCAGTTGAATTGAGTAGTCTAACACACTTCAACAATCCACCCTGAAAAAATAAAAATCATACATTGCTAATAAGTTTATTACTTTCACTTTCCCTTTCCTTCGGCTTAGTCCCTGTTTTTAATTAATAATAAAATATATATTTTTATAAGTTTGTAATATAGTCTAAACGTATGACACTTTCAGGTATTAAATGCAAGGTGCACTGAGTTAATAAAAACATAAGGGCAGATGACTTGCGGAGGATAAACGCAAATATGTGCCCTGCCTTTATTTATAATGTACATAGAGCGCACGTGGTCGTGACATCAATTGTGAGAGCGGAAAAATTGTGCACAGCCGCACACACATTTTAAACGATTTCTTAATCTTGTGTATTGTCAGTGGCTTTGTCACATTATAGGACAAAAAAATATCATTGTTATATACACAGTATGGTTGGGCGATGTCAACCAACTTGGCATCGTACAATGTCTAATGTGAAACATTGCGATGGACGATGGCATCGTCACCGTAGGCGGCAGTAAATTAACTATTTATAAATAATAAATCAATTTATAATGAATTAATTATTTGTAGTGTACCATTTCACCTACCTAATGTGCATAGTCTTTGTTTTACCAGTAACTAAATCATAAATAAAGATGAGTTACACACAAATTACCACCTGTCCATCACTTTTTCCAAGAGTCGTTAGATAGACAAGATTAAATAAATATCACGTTTTACAACTTTAGTGAGACGCGATCCAGTGCTACATCCTTGATAACCTGTCCGATGTGCACTTCTCTCTGGAGTTTTGTGCTCAAGACGTGTGTGTGTGTGTGTGTACGCTGCAGCGCTGACAGTGTGTGTGGTCATGTGATGTGCGTTTTCGGCAGTATAGTGTGGAAGGGCTTTTCAGAAATGCTAGGTAAAAAGTCAGTGTGGACGTGGATTGATTTCGTTCTAAAATCTCATTTTAAAACTTAGACGTATTAATGTAAACGAGGTCTAAGTGTGTTTTTTTTGCAGGCGGGTTGCTGCGACGGACGGGGCAGAGGATCGTGATACCGGCTCAGCATCGTGATGTCTATCGGCCATTGACGATGACATCATCTATGAACTTAACCCTAATACACAGTAGCCAAGGTAGGTCTACAATTACAGGTACATCCCTTAAGTCAGGGGTGTCAAACTCAATCCCTGGAGGGCTGAAGCCCTGCACAGTTTAGTTCCAACCCTGCTCCAACACACTTACCTGTAGGTTTCAAACAAGCCTGAAGGACTCAATTAGTTTGGTCAGGTGTGTTTAATTAGGGTTGGAACTAAACTGTGCAGAGCTGCGGCCCTTTTGGAACTGAGTTTGACACCTGTGCCTTAAGACGTCTGGAATGAAGCAGGTCGTCTGCTTTGATGACGATGGAGACTCACCCCACCACCCCAACCTTCGGATTTATGCAAATTACGAGGTCGCCCCCCTATTGACCTTGGAAGATACGGAAATCCGTATTCATAGAGAAGAATCACATCCCTGAGTTCTAGAAGTTAATACGTGAAGCTTAAAACTCGCATTTAAAAGTGAACAATGCATCAATTCATGATGCGCTAGATTCAGTTCCAATACACTGAGGTCTAATTTAATTTTCATATTTTCATAACAGTAGTTTAAGGCAGTAAACCTAGTTTAAGGCATGTGACAGATTCTGTGTTCCTAAATAAGCTTGCAAATTCCAAAATAACCATAAAATTAAATTTCCAACACAGTCATATCACCCTGCAGCCCAAGACCGGTTACTCCCTGAAGCCAAGTAAGGCTGAGGTCAGTGCCTGGATGGGAGACCACATGGGAAAACTAGGTTGGTGTTAGTGAGGCCAGCAGGGGGCGCACAACTTGGTCTATGTGAGTCCTAATGCCCCAGTATAGTGGAGGGAACACTATACTGTCAGTGGGCAACGTCTTTCAGGTGAGACGTTAAACACAGGTCCTGACCCTCTGTGGTCATTAAAAAATCCCAAGGCACTTCTCGTGAAGAGTAGGGGTGTAACCCTGGTCTCCTGGCCAAATTCCTTCTATTGGCCCTTAAGCCGCCTTTCCACTGCATACGACAAATGACAAACGACAGACCGGATGTCATTCATTTCCAGTGGAGAATAGTCCGGGAGCTGCGTGGAGTTCTAATCATCTCTGTATGTGGAAAATTCGGATCCGATTTGAGCTGTGGATACATTGAAATATTTGAACTCCTACAACTAGTGTATGCGACCGGCAGACCGGATGTGATGTATTCCAGTGGAGTCCAAGCAATGACTGTAAAAAATTGTCCAAGCAGGTCCGTGAGCACGAGATGAGAAATAGGAGTTTTTTCATAAATTTTTTATATCAGAAAAAAGTCTATATTATTGAAACATTTTTATTTATAAATGAGTAATAAAATAATATTTTTAATGTTGTCTCCACATTTTCTCCGATATTTTGTTCTGTGAGTTTATAGTATTCATTCATTCATTCAACCATGATAAACGCACAGAGAACAAAGGCTCTTTTTATACTTTAATTTTGGACACCACACAAATTAACTTCTCTGATTCACTTAATCAACTGAAATTCTGTGCAATTGCCACAATGGGGTGTATTTCGGCAGTATTGTCCAAATGTCAGGTGCAGTTGAAAGGCGACTTTACCCATCACGGTCTCTCAATCATCCCAATCTACTGAATTGGCTCTATCACTGTCTCTCCACTCCAACTATAGCTGGCGTGTCGGAGCACACACTGGCGCCATTGTTCTGTGGCTGCGGTCGCATCATCCAAGTGGATGCTGCACACTGGTGGTGGTTAGGAGAGACCCCCCTCATAAATTGTGAAGTGCTTTAGGTGTATGGCCATACAAGATAAATGCTTGATATAAATTTACATTACATTTACAATACATAAATCACAACTGGTTTGGTCAAGTTGTGAAGTTTGCATATTCTCCCTGTGTTTGTGTGGGTTTCCTCCGGGTGCTCTGGTTTCCCCCACAGTACAAAGACATGCGCTACAGGTGAATTGGGTAAGCTAAATTGTCCATAGTATGTATGGGTGTTTCCCAGTGATTGGTTGCGGTTGGAGAGACATCCGCTTCATAAAACATATGCTTGATAAGTTGGCGGTTCATTCCACTGTGGCCACCCCATATTAATAAATAGACTAAGCCGAAAAGAAAATACATGAATGAATCACAACTACTTTATAAAGAAACAGAAATGTTTTGTCTTCCTGAACAAATTAAACTGATATTTTAACAAGTCTATCCAAGTCAAATCCTCTCATATATCGGGTTCCCATAGCAACAAAAAAGTTACTAAAATAAACCACTTCAGCAACATCACAAAAAAACTCCTTGTCTAGATGTGTGCGCGCTTTAAATGTAAGTGCAGATTCTAAAGTCATGGCACCCTGATCATAATATAATGATGTTAACATGGCAACAAGCCCAGTGAGACTAATAATCTCAACTTAAAGTCAAGGCTTGTTCCTTTTACTATAATTAATGAATAGTGAGTGACCCGCTGCTTTTGCCATAGTGACAATTCGATCAATGGTGGCGCATAAAAGTGCCTACAGCGCACGACAACCATGGAAACCATACTTACACTAACACAGGACGCACTGCATTGTTCATGTTGCCATAAGCAGCGCGACCCAGCAACTCTCGAAAGCAGCTCTCCGCCAACGAAGCCGGATTCTCCTCTCCAGCCCTGAGAAACAAAGAAAACACACATAAGAGCTCATGTTAACGCTGTGATTTACAGTATGTTTCACGTTCTGCCTTCTCATGTCAAACACTCAGGTGTAATAAATGATGCATTAAGATCTACAAGGAAAAAAAACAAACATCCCCACTATATCTCTGTCAGACACACAACACACACACAATCTTTGTCCCTTCGGCTCACTGACAGTCCATGGAAAGCAATTAACAGGAGCTGACGACCTTGACAAGCTGAAATACGCACACACGCACACAGTATAGCCTATTCAAAGAGCTATAAATTAAAGCAACACAGTAGCAAACAGCAGCTATGTTTTGTTAAGGAATAGTCGCATATTGCGCACTTGACACCTACAGTATATAATACATGTGTTTTGTTTGATTCGAACATTTAGAAACAATTTATAACACAGATGTTGTTCAATTTCATCTTTGACTCCAAATATGAGCTTTTAAATATAAGCTTGCCAATCAGTTTCGGAGAATAAGATACTTGCTCAGGAGTAGCTTTAAAGATGCAAACTGAGTAGGGCTATACGATATTGGAAAAAATCTGACATTGGAATATTTTGTTTTTAATTAGGCTTTAAGTGTAATAAATATTGTGATTTTTATTTATTTATTTATTTTTTTAATAACGGAAAGTCATTTTACCAGATGACTTAAATAGCTCTATTTGGAGAAAAAATATTTTACATCAACTGAGGTGATTTTGTAGGGAAGTGAGTCATGCATAAAATATAACTAGGGCCAGACAGAATCTGTGGATTTTTGCCATTTCTGTGCACAAAGTATATACAAGAATCAGAGAGTGAAATTCAATACCTTTTAAAAACTCTTTCCATACAATAAGATCTTATAATCACTTTTCAACCGGAAACACTGACGATACTGTCAATACTAATGTAAGAAATTAACCCAAAACTAAAACATTATTCATATACTGAATAAAAAATGATTGAATCTAGCTCAGTGGTTCTCAAACTGGTACGCGTACCACTAGCAGTACGCGGGCTTACTTCTAGTGGTACACGGAGGAATCACTGAGTAATGAAAGAAAAATATAATTTTTATATAATATATTGCATACAATAACTCCAATTTGATCAGCATTGGCTGTTCTCTAAAGCCTACGATAAAATCGCTGTGCTTAGAATGTTTACTTTAGGGAATTGTGTCATCAGACCGGTGCTGGTCTGTGGCCAACCCTCGGGCCACAGACCAGCACTGGTCTATAGATCAATTGGTACTGGGCAGCACAAAAATTAATTATTTCCCTTTTATTCATTATCCGAGTCTGAACAATCATTTATTTGGAAAAAAATTTTAGTTTGAAAAATTACCGTATTCTCTTGTTACATCATGGTCACTTGAGTGCCAAAATTTAACCAACAGGCTAGCAAAATGAGTAAGAACTGCAGCACGATGCGCTTGCATTTTCCAGGCATACACAGATGAAAACATCTTAACTTTTCAGAATGCCGCACCGCGAGTCACATGACAAAAACCGACTTCATCAGCTTTATATTTTGTATGGAATATCATTTTGTTTGACTAATTATCTCAGACAAACACAGAACACCCAAACACTGCAGTGCTTTTTAATTTTCTCCATAAATAAAACTTGAGTGCAGCAATGTTTTGTCAGCTTGACATACTCAAAAAAAATGGGTTCCCTACCAATCTACATGAAAGTTAGTGTTTAGATTTCAAAAAGTTTTACAAATATGTCATATGTATGTACATGCAACATACATTTCAAAATGTATACAATATTGTATAAATACGAATATGATTCTTGTTTTCGAACTGTGCAGTGCTGTAGCTGACTAATTTGGCCAATTACGCTGCTTTATTTCAATACTGCTCAATATGGTGGTGCATGGAGAGACAATTTTTTTCTAAGGTGGTACTTGGTGAAAAAAGTTTAAGAACCACTGATCTAGCTAATTCAGCAGGTTGGTGCTTATAGAACTGGTGTTGCATTGGTAACTGCAGTAAACAAAGCAGCCTGATGTCAAATCTAGAAGAATTTCATGTTTTTAGTTATAAACACACATTTTATAGTTCTGATTGTATACAACAATCTGCATACTATATCATATAGCAGATTGTGCAATTTTCTATACGCTTCATCATAAATCAGGGCTCCCACTCTTAGCCAAATGTAAAATTCCCAGACTGTTCTCTGACTTTCATTACCTAAAAAGCTGAATTTTGAATTTTCATGACCTATAATGACCAGAAAAACAGGACGCAATAAGCAGTCCCTCCAGAAAATCTGTGATCCCTGAATTTAATGCAAACAGGGTAAAAACAGGGCTTTTTTTTTACAAGACTGCAGATTTCCTGTGGATTTGGCTAGGCATGACATTGGTCAAATTTACTCTGTGTTAGTTTGCATATTGATCAATTTAAACTAAATAACATTATTTTCGTGTATAAAAAGTCCTCATCCGGTGTGCGATAACACTCTTCTCCTCAGATTTTAAGAGTTATGTTTCTTTTGATCATTTTAAGTCATTCATGTATCAACTATGATCTAATAGTTAAAAAAATAAACCCTTACTTTATAAATTATGAAGTTATAAATTACAGAGGCTAATCTTTGAGTTCGACAAAGTAATGAAGAACTGAAAAAAAGCACGGTATTGTTAAAATACTTTTACATTTGAATGTAATAAATGGAGAGAAAAAAACTAAATGACAATCAATAATCCCTGGTATTCCATGACTTCAACAAAAAATAAAAATCTGACTTTCAATGTCTGGAATAGACCTTTTAAAAATCTATAATACTCCAGAAATCACATGACCTGTGGTATCCTTAATAAATGTAAGCTTGCATAAAATGTCTTATAATTAAATAAAATAAAAATCCTAAAGTAACGCTGCTCTCGTATATTTTGAGATATTGGTTTTCAGATGAATGTCCCCAGTAACATCAGCAGATCAGGTGTCATTCCACATGTCAGTCAATCTTTGTGTTCGCAACCTTAATAACTGATCGATGCACCTGATCGAGTTTCAGCTCCTGATTATAGAGCAGAGAGCAGCGATTGATGTTTCCCTACTCAAACAAAAACAGGCAATTAAACTTAAATATTCTGTGCACACAGGAGCCCTTATCTGAGGCGCACATTTTATTCTCGCGCAAACACACACACACACACACACACACACACATTCTTAAAGGAATCAGATATCCTTGATTGCCCTCTACGTGTGGCCTTTTTATAAAAAAAAAATCTCTCCTCCTCCCTGGCTCTTTGTGTTTGGCGGCATTATTCAGTGCACAGAACAGAACTACAAACATCAAGCACAAATTGAATTGAAATATCACCTTGAGAAGGAGAAATTAAATGATTGCACTTGCTGTAATGTGTGTGTGCGTGTGAATTTTTACCTCTCAGAGTCCTCATTATCTTGCATGTTGAACAGCATGGAAGGGATGAGTTTATCCATGTGCTGAGGCTCCCAGATGATTGCCTGGAGTTCATCATTCACAGTCTTTCTGACAACACCCTGGAGACCCTTAATGCCTGCTACACGGATCCTGCGGAAGGAACAAGTTCAACAGGCTAAATAAACACACTAAATATCACACTCATTAGATTACTACTGCTAGAGTCAACATGTATTGGTCCCAAAAGTGTTTGGAAATAAACTCCATCCCCACCACCGACATGAGCTCGTCCATTAAGAAACAACAAACTATGTTTTAGGTGAATTATGGTAAGGACAGTACTAGCGCATGTCCTGAGTGAGTTACGAAGCTTCTTGGTCTCCTGGGAGTGAAATAAAAGATGACCAGAGAAAGTGTAGATCAGATCGCATGTAAAAATGAACTGTTAGACAACTTTCATTTATCTTACTGCCTTCTTTATCAGGGCTCACCACAGTGAAATTATCCACCCCCATTGATCTGGACTAAAGTTATGTGTTTATAATGTATAATAGCTGACAAAAGTCTTGTTGCCTATCCAAGTTTTAGGAATAACAACTAATAACTTCTAGTTGATCATGTGGTATCAGAAGTGGCTTATATGAAAGGCAAATGCCTATAGAATAGGCTAATTTTATCAAAATAAAATTATTTTAATTATTTAATTAGGACAGTAAGGTCTGACTTTGCTTAGACAAAAGTCTTGTCACTTGACAGAAATAATGTACAGTATAGAAATAAAAGCCATGCTTGCAGTGGAAAAAGAATGAATATTGTGTATGACTCCCATGAGCTTGGAGGACTGCATCCATACATCTCTGCAATGACTCAAATAACTTATTAATAAAGTCATCTGGAATGGCAAAGAAAGCAATCTTGCAGGATCTTTGGATTCATCTTTAATGCCTCCTCCTTTCTTTTACCCCAGACATGCTCAATTATGTTTATGTCTGGTGACTGGGCTGGCCAATCCTAAAGCACCTTGACCTTCTTTCAGGAACTTTGATGTGGAGGCTGAAGTTTGAGAAGGAGCGCTATCCTGCTGAAGAATTAACCCTCTCTTGTGGTTTGTTATGTAATGGGCAGCACAAATGTCTCGATAACTCAGGCTGTTGATGTTGCCATGCACTCTGAGAATCTTGCGGGTTCCAATAGGTCTTCTGCAGTATTTGTAATGACTGGGATGCAGTTCAACAGATGCGTCCATCAGGAAAATCTACCTTCTGCCACTTTTCCAAATGATCAACTATTAATCAAGATATTATTTGTTACTATTACAACTGGGATCGACGACAAGACTTTTGTCAGGTAGTGTATATATCATCAATTACTAGTCGAAAATATTCTGATATGTCAAATATAGGTGAAAATTATTAAAAATGCTGGCAACTTGAAAGAGTTATGCTCTGGCACAGAAAGAGTTAAAGTCTCATTCTAATCTTGTGAATTTGACTGTATTAGTTTAAACAAATGGCATCTGAAAACTGGTTTCTGAGAACTAACATCAGAAGCTGTGTATGGCCAGATTTGATGATAGAAAATAATCTATAGGTTTTCTATCGTTCTTAAATGATCAGTTGGTTAAACAGACAAATCATATAATGTTTAATCGCTGCATTTAGGAGATTTAAAAAAATGCATAAATAATGTGACATGCCCATTAAATAGCTGATTTCAGTAGGTCCAAGTTCTACTTATGTTGACACTAGATCCTTATTTATTTATAGATTATTTATAGAATATTATAGATTTATTTAAAACTGGCTTTTTTCTGAATATTACAATATACAAAATATAGTTAAAGACAAATATACAGATTTTCATTCATCAACAGCATAGTACAGACACTAATGCACACACACCTGCTGCGGGTCTCGGGGTCCTCATGTGTAGAATGACACATGGCACTGAACTGAGAGACGAAAAAGTCATATCTTCGATGGTAAGATGGCGTATCCTCCTCAATATTTGCAAACTTCACAAACTACACAAAAAAAAAAAAAACAGAAGGGACATCTAACTCAGAATGATTATGTCATAAAAACAACCAACCACACCCAAATATCTTCCTGTCTCACACAAACACTCCCACGCAAAGGTGCCAAGGCGATATTCCTTTCTCGTGATGTGGTGTAGAGGAAGTTGCTGCTATCAGCCAGAGAAGTGTTATTTCTCATTAGACAAGCAATACAGTGTGCAAGTCTGTGAATGTTTGGCTGATTTAATATAGGGTCCAAATTTGACATTTGTAATGTTTGATTTCACTAAAGTCCACTAAAACTGGTTTACATGATCATTTACATGAGCTTTTACTACTGCAACCAACCTTCATTTGACTGGATTCGGTTTTAAACGTTTTAAATACAAAAAGATATTGGATATTTCTTTTAAGAACAACAATTAAAAGATATTTTGCTGAGTGCTGTTGTGCTTTTTAAGCAACACAGGCTCACTGGAAATACATGCTTTATGTGAAACTTCAAAAATGACTGCAGTTTCTAAATAAAATGAATGCTACGGGGCAGTATGACACGATCATCCTTTGTTAATTTTTATAGTGATCATTTTTACAGAGACTTATTAATCATCAAATTAAGGGTTTTTTATTGCAGTTCTTTGTGCAACACCAAATGAATACCACAAAACAACTTGTACAATGTATATGATTTGAATTTGTATACTTTTGTCTCAGATATCTAATGTCTATCCATGATCATATCATGATCATATATTTTTATTTACTGCAATGTCAGCATCAATGGCTTTGTTCATGGCAAAAGATTTCGTAAATGAATATATAATTTACAGTAACTTAAATTCTGCAGAACAAACATTAAGCGGGGTCTTCACCTTTAAGCAAAAAAACATGGGTTGAGGATATTACACATTGAATCTGAAATTTCTGTTCGCAATTTTTGACGTAAAAAAAAAAACAACCTCACGTGTGTGAATAGTACTGACAGACTGCCTCTGAAACTTTGTCCGCCATAAAAAAAATGTAAAAAAAAAAAATCGAAGTGTTTATTTTATTCCGCTTTTTGCATCTGAAAAAGCGTTTTGAGAGGTGTTTTGACAGTTCAGAGCCACCGTACAAGCGAAAAGCTAAATAAATAAAAAATATAAAGCTCCTTTGAGCTACACATAACTTCATGACAAACATAGTGCATAATATAAAGACAGAATGTGACAGACAGCTATATGCTAGATTCAGTGACTGGAGCATCACTTCTTTGCTGCTGCTGCTGGCTGGCAGCCATGTCATACTGCCTATAGACATTATAGTAGGAAATTGCTTTGACGCATCAACGCGACCATCTATTATAATGTCTATATGTACTGCCAGTCTCTGTTTAATATTTGTTTATGTACGTGAATGTGAAGTATTACAAGCAATGTATCAAAATTCCACTGATTTCCTGAAATAAATTTAGCATTTTGAGTTAATCTAAAATAATAGTACAGCAGCTCTTTGATAAGGAGAACTCTCCTTCCTCTATGTAGGCTAGTATTAAATGAACACAATATGAAGCCTATTCCTCTTTCTTTTTCTACTTTGCAGAAGAGAGAGAACAATTAATACCTGCTTAAACTGACTCTGAAATGTTTTGCATTTTTTCGTAATGGATCAATTAATATGCATCAGATTCAGTGTGCAACGTTTGCTTACCTGACAAATTTTTCGCATCCGAATACAAAAATCTGCATAACAAAATTTTCGGACTTCAGTATGCAAAGACCTTTAGTCTTGTATGTCCAATACGACATCTGCTAAAAATCCCTTGATCAAATCTGGTCTTAGAATGTATTAAAAATCTATTCGAAATTTCAGGTTGTATATCAAACAATGTATGATTCTTCTATGTATCCCACTCCTCTTGTCATTGAAACATTTAAAACGTAACCATTGATGAGGAGGAATTTCCTATTTATCTCCATGTGGACAATTTCACTGGTGTGGTCAGTTTGCTCGGTAGTTCACCCTGTACATTGTTGTGTTTGTGATGCAGAGCACTCATTTCACAAAAAAATAAAAGCAATGTAAATTCAAGCTAAAACTATGTGATCGCAGTTAACTTTATGTTATATACATTTGCAAATACAATATTTTAAAAACATTATTATTAGTTGGGATATGGGAAAAATTCAGGTCAGTGGTTCACTAAGTGATGTGTATGACAAGCCCCACTTTCTCATCTAAAAATACAGCAAATCATGATCCAAGTAATGTATTTTGCATTTGAATGTAGACAGCACCCTCTAGTGGATTTGTCCTTTGAATTGTGCAACAAAACATAGCTAGAGCCCAAATTTTTACATTTTGCAAAAATGTAGGCTGAGGTACATATTTCCAATGTGCATGGGCTGAGATTAGAGCCTTTAATACTTCAAAATATATGACACTAAAACTACCAGTAGGTGGCAACAAGTCCCTGTATTAATGAGTGATTTACTAAATTCAAAATGATTCAAATACATTATTGCAGACTATAAAAATATCACACAGTCCTAGGGGCATTTCTATTTTCATGCAAACATTGCAATTTTCAGATGACCAGCTTTTGCGAAGACATTGACATAGCTTACACTACTAAGAAATGTAGCTTTGTGATTCGATTGATGATACAATGTTCAAAACACCCAAACAACTCAATAGAGTATGGCTGCAGATTTGCACTTGCACCTCCAGGCTTGCACGCTCAGGCAAGCATGCTTCCTCTGCAAATGACATCAATACAATCGCCACCTGTGGCCGCTTGCATGAAAGTCCTTCGGTAATTTAACTTAAGGACGTCCCTGAGGCGGAAAAATCCCTGAGGTAACTGATTTCATAAAGATCGTTGCAACAAACTTCTTATCCGTCAGCCTTACTCAAGTGTCTTTTTTCTAAGCGTTTCACTGTAGTTTCTGGCAACACACGACGACGGGCGCCACAGTTGCTATAGTTACGTGAACAGATTGTAACGAACCACGAAGGCTTTCCTTACAATAGCTCTGCAGTAATGTTATACATCATCTGTGTCGCTTTTTCTCCGTTAAGCGAGTCGAGACGTTCCTTTATCGAGTCGATCTCGACATTATGTTTGGAGGACCTATAAAACTGGACTGGGATCATGTAGAGACTGTTGAAGCTGCGCTGCAACTTTGATTTCATATAGATGCAATCCTGCGCAGACGTGCTAACTTATCAGCATGTATATATTAGTTTATTTATTAAATGGTTTTATTAAATTAGTTACTTACAGTGCTGTGCCTGTAAGTCTTTTATCTAAAACACTTTTTTGGGTAAGAATGCTTGCATTTTGAGTGTCATTTGTTCAAGGGAGCTGATCGGGTCCCTTAAATGTTTTAAGAGGAAATGGTTACTAAGGACTGAGGGGAAATACTTATGGCAGCCTTAAATTCCTTAAATCAAATTTTTTTATTTTTTTTTCTACTTGCAAACCAACTTTTACCAAGGGTACCCTTAACCTTAAACTGAGCGATTTTTTGGTTAAGAACTTTCATGCAATCGAGCCCTGCACTCTCCTGCCACATCACTTGCATAGACATCTGCATTCTAGTTTGCAATCGTCCAGGGACCTGCTAAATAAAGAATAGTTTCCCAAGTCGTTCAAGAATTATTGCTGTAAGTCCATAATGTGTATCTGTTAGTTGTAATACTACAACTGCTTAAGGGCCCTATCATACACCCGGCGCAGTGTGGCGCAAGGCGCGGTGCACTAGTCTTTTGGTAGTTTCAGCTTAGCGCAAGAGTTGTTTTGAGGCGTTGTGCTACGCTGTTTAAATAGCAAATGTATTAGCGCTCATTTTTGCCCCCATAGGCGTTCTGGTCTAAAAGGAAGGTGTTCTGAGGCGAACCGCTGGCGCGTTGCTATTTTGAGAAATTATAATAGATTTTTCATTAGACCAAAACTAACCCGGTCTAAACTCCGGCTTAGAGTTGCGCCTCGCTTACACACTGCTTAATACGCACAAGAGAGCAATAGGCAAATATCTTTACATATGAAAAAATTTAAATATTAAGGATATATATAGGATATAATAAGAATAGATATAGAATATAAATATAAAGGATTAAAATATTACAAAACATATTATTTTCTAGCCTACATAAATATGAAAAATCACTGCTTTTATGTCTTCTTCATCTCGGGAGGCTTTTTCAGTTCATTCATAACAATTTGCTTTTTGTATAATGTTATTATTATTAGCAGTATTATTTATTATATCCATATTTATATTTGTTTTATTAAAAACAAGCTTAGATTTGCCCACCTGTCAGGTTTTAGACCATATGGGGCACAGCATGTGTTTTAGGATATAACTCATGTTTTTGAGCACATTTTGTTATTATTATTCATTTATTCGTTTTCTGGAAATTAGAATTGAATTTAGAAATAGTTTTAAAACGAATATTTGCGCTTAACAAACAAAATAATTTATTTATAGACTAATTGATGTCTGTGCGTAAAGGTTTCCCTATCCAGAGCGAATGTGAAAGTAGTTCCATTATCACTCATTCTGCAGTAGATGCTCTGTTTAACAGTTTTCTGTTAAAAAAAACTGTTAACTGTTAACTGTTTGCTTGTGAAATGGTCATTTTTTCCACTTAGACTATCTTTGCATCCTGTAAATAGCGAATGCGCTCTTGGCGTGACACAGCTGACTCTTAAGGAGAATGGGAGATGAGACTCTAATTGGTTTATTCTCAAAACACACCTATAACTCATTAAGAAAATAAACTCAACCCTTTTAGACCATGCGCCACGGCGCAAGGCAGATTTTCCCATCCTTAAATTAGCAAAAACGCGCCCTGACATGCCCTGAAAGCGTTTGCGCCCTGCGCATGGACCGTCAAAATAGAGCCCTAAATGTTTAAAACAGAAACTAAAATTCAAATTTGCCTGGTGTTTTTTAATTTTTTTTATTTATAACTGTGGAAAAACCTTGTGTGTATATTTATACCTGATAGTTTATATAAATAAATAATAAGCTTTGCTGGTATAAATGTTAATAGTAGCCTGCTTTGGCAAGTTTACATCAAAGCGTATAATCATATGATGAATACACAAACCGCTTTTTGGAGGCTGGGAGGGTCCGTCATGGTGTACAAGTTAAGTACTTAGAATTATTTGACAACGTTGTCACTGTCGACGCAAACGAACTGGAAACTTACTTTTGGTTTATTTGTGTTGATTTCAAGTGGCATGATGTAAATGACGTCACTTGCATAGGAAGCGTGGGTGCCTGAGCGTTCAAGCCTGAAGATGCAAGTGCAACTCTGCAGCCAGACCCTTCTCAAACAACTTCGGTGCTGGTCTCCACTTTGTTTGGCTGAGTTTTTTTTTTTCAGTTTTACCATTGGCACCACCTACTGGCTATTTTAAAGAACTCAATACAGCAATTTTAAATTTCTTGTGGAATAAAAAACGGCCTAGAATTAAACTTAAATTTACGCATACTGTACACTAAAACCTCACGATGGCTTATCCTTGCCAGATTTTTCATCATATTATTTAGCATACCAAATGAAACCACTTAGGACTTGGTTGGAAGTTGACTCCCCCGTTTCTTAGCGGGTCTTAGAAGCTAATATTATTCATCCACTGCGTCTACAGGATCTACCCACTAAAACATCCAAGAAATTGCATGAAAAATTTGGTCCAATTATAGGTCACTCTATTAAAACCTGAAAAGCAGCAGAAAATTTTATGGGAGCATCTGATTGTTATTGTGATTCCACCCCTAGCTGGTACCACAATAATATATGTACTGGTAACAAACCATTTAAAGTATACAGAAATGCTATACAACGATGACCAACTTAAATGGTTTCAGATTTTGAAAGAGGAAGTCTCTCTCCCAGGATTCTCCTTTTTCTTATATTTAAGATTGAGGTCTGAGCTGAAAGCATATGGAGTACCTTGGTCATTCAAAATATCCCCTCATCCTATGATAGACTGTATAGATTCTATTTTGGACTCTAGAGGTATTGTAAACACATTTATAAATCACCTAAAGTACGACAATATTCAAATATATCGATTGAGGGCTTTTGGGAGAGAGAATTCAATACAATTATTGATTGGGAGACTGTCTGGGAGAACTGTTTTGTAACTTTAAAAAACCCAGCTCACCAAATAATTATTATAAATTATTTTTTAAGGCTTATGCCACCCCCTACCCGTTATTTAAAAGGAAAAGGAAATAATTTTTTTTGTCACTTATGTAACAACTTTACACAAGGTACTTATATACACATGTTCTGGAAATGTCCCCAAATTGCATCGTTCTGGACCAAGGTACGAGACTTTCAATCAGAACTAATGAAAGTCAGATCCAATGCGACCCATTGCTTTTTTTCATGCTGGACAATTCATCATTCTCCTTATCCATCAACCAAAGAAAGATTCTTTTAGTTGTTCTGACTGCTGCTGCTGCAAAAAAAAACAATCCTGAAACTATGGCTGGATCCATCTGCTCCAACTGATCTATCCTGGAGGATTTATCTAGGACATTATTAGTTTGAAATACACTACGGTCAAAATAAATGGTGAAAGTAAAAAAAAAACTGGACAATTTTGGTTAAATATGAGAGAGACTGTATCAGATATGTTTCAATCCCGATTTTGTACTTACCATTACAATATTACTGTTTTTATTTTATTTGACACTTTTTGTTGGCTGGATGTCGGGCTTTGTTCAAAATCAAAATGATCAATAAAAAAAGAATAAAAAAAGCAAACAAACACCCAAGCAATTCAATACTGCAGGATTTTCACAATGAAACACTTCAGATCCACTTGGAACAGATATGAAAAAGCCAGCGGAGAAATAATACAGCGGAAAATTGAGAAAGCAGAGAAAGAAAGGGGCAGAGCAAGAGACTGAAAGAGAGAAGAGAAAAAGCACCATAACAAAAAAAATGGCAGAATAGCAGTGATTTTTCATATTCCACCTGAATGTCCTGCTGAGATTGGGTTTACTCATTCTCACACACACACACACACACACACACACACACACACACACACACACACACACACACACACACACACACACACACACACACACACACACACACACACACACACACACACACACACACACACACACACACACACACACACACACACACACACACAGACACACACACACACACACACACACACACACACACAGACTTACCGAGTTGGTGCCCAGCACTTGTAAATCTGGTTCTCTGGACTCCAGCAGTTTGGCTACCATGTGTAAGAAGCTCTCCACAAATGGCTTGATACTCTGGGAATGACAGGCCATCAACAACTGATCCAAAGCTTCCATCGCTATTCCTACATACCTGTTCACATACACAAAGACACAGACACAAACACACACATAAGAAACAAGAGTCCAAAATGAACACTTACCAAGCATGAGTTTTATTAAAAGTGTAAGAAAATAAAACATTATAAACTAATGATCAAAAATGTTGTTTTTTAATGCTCAGCAAAACAAAAATCCACTAAAACCAGTACTAAATTGAAATACTATTACAATTTAAATATTATTACATTCAATAAAAAAAAAACAAAGCTGAACGCAGCTAGCAAGCAATTAATTTTTTTCCACTAAAATTTAAGTCTTACCCATAGCGATGTCGTACCACATCTCTGGTGAGCCGCTCGGCCAGGTATGCTCCGATGCGGTCCAGCTTTTCAGGAGCTGACACCGCATAAAACGTCAACTTCTCCATGTCAGATTTAACCAGTCCATCCTAAGGAACAAAAACACACACAGTTTGTGAGTAATACTTCCAGTGGTGTAGTGGAAAGGCCCAACTCCCAACACGCCCCCCACTAATCTTGGTAAAAATAGGTAAAAACCATTCTTTGTGTAATAGTGTGACAGTATCGGTTAATTTTAGGCCCAGTAATAATCTGTTCAAAGAATGGTAAAAGTGAAAGCAGCAACTGCTGCTGCATACGAAAGATTTGGAGATCTCTTGAAAGCAGCAAGACTGTAGGTGCATGAGCGCCACTTTTTTCCAATCAAACAATTGCACTAGTTGCAATAGTACAACAGTTGTTTTTGCGCAAAAAAACAAGAGATTTTAAGCAACGTCAGTGAGTGAGGATCGCCTGTGTCTTGCCGTGCACCTGATCATCCTCTCATTTGGTATTTACCTGCTTTCTTTTGCTTGTGCGAACACTTATTAGTCGTGCTGCTTCTCGATTCTAAGAGCCCATTTGTGCGCATATTGACAAACGGTCTTAAACTAAAATTCTTATCTTTAGGGACGGGGCAGCTTTGGCCGTTATTTTTAAAATTATTTTCAAACAGCTAAAGTGGTTAGTGGGGGTGTCTGTCTAACCCGCCAAAGCTGAAATCTACCCGCATTTGGCCTGTGTTAATGTCAAGCCCTGTGTGTATGTATATATGACAATTATATATGTGTGTGCGTATATATATATATATATATATATATATATATATATATATATATATATATATATATATATATATATATATATGTGTGTGTGTGTGTGTGTATATAATAAAATGTAACAATAATGTAATCAAATAGACATCTAACAGTGGTCCAAAAATAGACCAGTTGTCAATAGGCAGGAATGAATGACTACAGGTGTGAAGTCTGTGTAATCGGTCTATTAGATGACTAATCTATTTCTGGACTATTGTTAGACATTTATTAAATCCAATTTAATGACATGACATGTTAAGAGATCTATTAGACATCTATTAAACAAAAAATGGCTTGGTGGGAGGAGACTGAGGGAACATTTGAATAATTTAGTAATACATAAAAGGTATAACATCAATTACACACAACGCATCTTTTTAAACTAAGAAAACAAATTAATTAATTGCAAGCGGTCACAGAAATATACGTAAAAAACAGACCTATGACAAATCACATAAAATGAAATGAAAATAAATTAAAATCAGACTTTTCTTTAAAAAATATAAATACGCTTACACTCATAGGCCACTTTATTAGATACATCTGTCTAACTCGTTAATACAAAATCCTAATCAGCCAATCACATGGCAGCAACTCAATGCATTTAGGCATGTAGACATGGTCAAGACGATCTGCTGCAGTTCAAACAGAGCATCAGAATGTTAAAGAAAAGTGATTTACGGTACTTTAAACGTGGCATGGTTGTTGGTGCCAGACAGGCTGGTCTGAGTACTTCAAAAACTGCTGATCTAATTTAATTTTCACGCACAATCATCTCTAGGGTTTACAGAGAATGTTCTTCTGATGGCTGCTTCCAGCAGGATAACGCTTCATGTCATAAAGCGCGAATCATCTCAGACTGGTTTCTTGAAAATGACAATAAGTTCACTGTGCTCAAACGGCCTTTACGGTCACCAGATCTCAATCCAATAGAGCACCATTGGGATGTGGTGGAACGGGAGATTCGCATTATGGATAAGCAGTAGAGTTGGGTATCAACTGGGGTTGTTTTGATACCGGTGCTAAATCGATACTTTTAAAACCATACCGGTGCCAAAACGTTGCCTGAAAATGATGGTGGATGACTCTAGAAAAATCTTTTATTTGGCTAAATGTTTTAAAAAAATTATTTTAATAAAACTATATAATTAAACTTTTAATTTAGGTGAGTTCATCATCTTTTTTTTAGTGGCGAATATCAAATTGTTTGAGTTCAGTCGTTCGAAAATGTACCCAATTTGCCCCTAAACCAAACCGTCATTAAGAGATGAGCAAATCGTACCAAATTATATGAAAAAGATATCAGGAATTCATATGAATTAGCCACTAAATCAAGAAGTTATGAATTGCCGTGAGATTGTGTTGGATAATCGTATGTATCCGCTTGTTAAGTGTGAGTGTGCCTCATGCGAAGGGGCTTCCGAGTCAAAGTGCTATATCATACTGTATGTAATACTTCTGAAAATCACAATTGCAATATATATATATATATATATATATATATATATATATATATATATATATATATATATATAGTTGAAGTCAGAATTATAACCCCCCCTCTTTATTTTTCTGTTAAACATAATTTGGGAAATATTTAAAAAAGAAAATGAAAATCATAGGGGGGCTAATAATTCCGACTTCAACTGTATATATATATATATATATATATATATATATATATATATAGATATGTTAAAACTGGTAACAGCCAGAGACTGTTGTGTACACCATAAATTTACATAAAATTCACTTTAACATGTGATATGACTAAAAAGTGGTCATAAACGAATATTTTCTCAATTCAAATAAGTATCAGCTTGGACCTAGAAACAGTATTTCATACATCATGACTTAACAAGCAGATACTGCATCTAATATCTATTCAATATCTATTATCTATTCCAGGGTATATGCAGGAATCCTAAAGGTAATTTCAATACCATTTTAAGACTTTTTAAATACCTTTTTAAAAATATTTTAAGACTTCATTACTACTTCAAGTTGCCGTCTGTTCGCTCTATAGTTTTGCTAAATGTAGAAAGCATCACATCATGTTCCTGCGTTTAGCTCAAATTATGTGACATCACCCAAACGGAGGAGCTTGGCCGGATGTGCCCCGGCCTGAATCAATCGTGTGGATTATGCATGCAATTGTTATTATTAGGAAGAAAATAAAAATATATTTATGCTTTTTTGGAGTCAAACACTTAGGACAATGCTTGACAAAATTAAGGACCCCGTAAAAACGTGATTAAGACTTTTTAATACCCTTTAAAGGTCTCATAATTGATTTATCAACTTTTAATACTTTTTAAGACCAAGCGGGCACCCTGTATTCAAAGCAGTTTGTTAATAAAATTGTATTAGCAAATCCTGCTTATTTTTGCGATTACTCTGGTTTGCACTTTTACCGAGCAAATATGTTTAAAAACGTGAAAAGCATTTAATTTTGTTGTAAGTATACAAATCTTTCAGTTTTGAAGGGTAAACAGAATATTAAAAGTAAAAAAATATTAGTTATAAAATATAAAGTGTTATTTATCCTGTCTAACAGAAGGCATCATAAGTAGAAAATCACTTTTACCCAGAATCCATTTAGAGAAATAAACTCCTTGAGCTCTCAAAGTGCTAATTAACTTAACACGATTTTAACGTACGGTACATAACATGACTTTAGGGAATCAGACCGTTTGTGCATCTGTGTGTGTGTGTGTGTGTGTGTGTCGGTGGAAACAGTCACACCCTCTCATGAGATTATTACTCACACTTAGCCTTCAGAGAAAACAATTGTGTGGATGCGTGTGTGTGTGTCTTTGTGTGTGTGTCATTTTAATCAGCAGAGCTGCATGCTAAAGTGATGAATATGGAGTAATAGCAAGGTCAAAAAAACCTTTGGTGTGTGTGTGTGTGTTTGAGTGTATATGAAGTGGTAAGAAGTGGTCAAAGATCAAAATTAAAGCACTGCTAATACATATTCATGATTGCAGTTCACAGACATTCTCTGCAGCGATATGAAAAACAAGAAACAGCTGCCAGTCAACAGCGCATTAAATTTAGATTGATAGTCCAAGCGGCTTCTTTCTTATTATGCTGTGGCATTTACTTTAGCAGGTCTCGGAGGACAGGAAGAGCCGATAAGAATATATTTTGATCAGAGCACTTGAACTGGAACGAGGCTGAATCTTAGTGCATGAACTCTTACATAAAGATGATATTTATTTAAAGCCTCCGTCAACAGTTGGAATTTCTTATGTAAATGAGCAGAACTTGTTGACTGCGGAATTTTGCAGTTTCTTCTATAAACGTGTGTATACACATAAACACATACACACATTTAATAAATAAATAAACAAGGAATTCTCACTTTCTCTGGATTTTAATTTGACATTTAATGTGGACAGCATTTTTGATAAATAGTTAAGGTAAAAAAATAAATGTTATAGTCTTAAGCCGATGTTTTGACTTCAGAAGACTTGAAAACATGTTATTCTGATCAATTGCCATGTTTTGAAGAAACAAAAATGTTTTAAATTACAATATTTTAATAAGAAATTTGGAAAGAAATACATTTAGCTCTTTTAATGAATAAAACTAATATTAGTTTTCAAACTCATACTTATTATACTTAGTAAATTCAGAAAGACTGAGAATTTTCAGATGAATGGATGGATGGATGGATGGATGGATGGCTAGGTGCGTATATGGATGGATGGATAGGTGTGTATATAAATAAGGATGGATGGATAGGTGTGTATATGGATGGGGTTGATGGATGGGTAGGTGTGTATATGGATAAATGGATGGATTGATGGATGAATTATGGATGGTGCATAGACAGATGGACAGATGAGTAGGTGTGTATATGGATGGGGATGGATGGATGGATGGACGAATAGACAGGTGTGTATATGAATGGATATGATAAATGGATAGATGGCTAGGTGTGTATATGGATTGCGATGGATGAATGGATGGATGGATAGGTTTGTATATGGATGGATGGACGGATGGATGGATGGGTAGGTGTATATGGATGAATGTATGCATGCATAGACGGATGGACAGATAATTAGGTGTGTATTTGGATGGGATGGAAGGATGAATAGGTGTATAGATGGATGGAGAGATGGGTAGGTGTGTATATGGATGGGGTGGATGGATGGGTAGGTGTGTATATGGATGGGGTGGATGGATGGGTAGGTGTGTATATGGATGGGGATGGATGAATGGGTAGGTGTGTATATGGATAGATAGATGGATTGATTGATGGATGAATGTATGGATGATGGATGCACAGACAGATGAGTAGGTGTGTATGTGGATGGGGATGGATGGACGGACGGACGGATAGACAGGTGTGTACATGGATAAATAGATGAATGCATGGATGGATGGAATAGGTGAGTATATGGATGTATGAATGGACTGATAAGTAGATGTGTATATGGATGGATGGATGTATGTATGGATGGATGGATAGGTGTGTAAATGGATGTGGATGATGGATGGATGGTAGGTGTGTGTATAGATGGGATGAATAGATGGACAGATGGGTACGTATATAGATGTATGGATGGATGGATGGATGAATGTATGGATGAATGAATGAATGGATGGATGGATGGATGGATGGTTAGGTGTGGATATGGATGGGAATATATGGATGATGGATAGGTGTGTATATGGATGGATGGATGGATGGATGGATGGATGGATGGACGAATGGGTTGGTTTGTATATGGATGGATGGATGGATGGATGGATAGGTGTGTATATGGGTAGGGATGGATGGATGGATGGATAGGTGTGTATATGGGTAGGGATGGATGGATGGATAGATTGATATGCAAAACATATTTTTATTGGCTGAAACACCAAAAGATATTTGTAAAGCACTTTTAAAAAGATGCTTTTAGAAAAACTGGTAACCAGAAATATTCAACTCAACATTATATTCCAAAAACTCCTTGCATTTCCATCTTTTTCAGTGATATTTTACCTTGGGGTCCTCTGGGAAAATGTTGTCGACTAGGCGTTTGTAGCGCGGCCGCAGAGGACCACAACACCCACACACACCTGCAAAGAGAGAAAAGAAGCTTTATTAAATACAGAAGACACATAATCTTGACTCTATATCAGCTTTGAATGCATTCGGTTTAACCTGCAGAAACACAAATGCTTTTGGAGAGTTTGCGTGTGATTAAACTGATCTAAGATGCTGCTCTCACATCCGTCTGCATCTTTTATCTATAGCCGTTTATCTATTTTAACATGCATCTTTGATTGCTGTGGAGGATCTCAGTTGTAAATAGTGGACAACAGAATTCATTTTGTAACTTTAACTGCGGATAAAAGGAAACAGCAAGGAAAAATAGAGATCTTTATATTACCGAAATTATTTTGCAAAAAAAATAAATAAATAAACAAACCGGTCTTTCCTCTAGAATAAACTTCATGTCACGTCATTTTTTAAAGCTCCAAGCCAATTTCACATGATCAACAGCATGCATATGAAATGGATCAACCAGCAGAACTAATTTATTATTTATTGGTTATAATTTATTTTTTCATTAGTTTGATAATGATAATAGTATGGATAATATCATGGAGAGTATAGTAACCAATATTTGTGCATTGCTAGTTAGTTCATCATCATTAACTCAACCTATTAACTATTAGAAATTAGGCTTTGATCTATTTATGGAAGGACGTTTACAAAATATCATCAAGGAAGATGATCTTTACTTAATATTCTAATGATTTTTTGGCATAAGAGAAAAATCTATAATATTGACCCACAAAGTTTTTTTCCTCATCTATTTCCACAAATATACCCATGCAACACAAGACTGGTTTTGTGGTCCAGGGTCACGTCTGTGAACATTAGTTAGATGCTAATCAATATTCACGAGACCTTTAGACCTCCTGGGTGAGTTTGGATGTCAGCGACGCTTTAGAATTTCTACAAATAAAAACTGTGAAGATATTTTTAGACAAACAGCAAAGCCTCACGCTGACATTTTAACTAGAGAAATATTTGCAACATGTGAAAAGTGGAAATGTGCAAGAAAAATATATGTCGCCTATCCAAGTTTTAGGAACAACAAGTAATAACCTGACTTCTAGCTGATCATTTGGTATCAGAAGTGGCTTAAATGAAAGGAAAATGCCTCTAGATTACACTTATTTTACCAAAATAAAATTTGATCATGCCTTGATTTTTAACTATTTAATTGGGACAGTACATGCTGACTTTGCTTAGACAAAAGTATTGTCACTTAACAGAAATATTGTACAGCATAGAATATAAAGTCATGGTGCAGTGGAAAAATAATTAATATTGTGTATGACTCTCATGAGCTTGCATCCATACATCTCTGCAGTGACTCAAGTAACTTATTAATAAAGTCATCTGGAATGGCAAACAAAGCATTCTTGCAGGACTCTGATGTGGAGGCTGAAGTTTGAGAAGGAACGTTTTCCTGCTGCAGAACTTGCCCTCTTCTGTGGTTTGCCAGGCAGTTTATGTCATCCACTCTCACACACCCCCATACTGAATGTAACCCCAAACCATGATTTTTCCTTCACCAAACTTGAATAATTTCTGTGAGAATCTTGAGTCCATGTGGGTTCCCATAGGTCTTCTGCAGTATTTGTGATGATTGGGATGCAGTTCAACAGATGATTCATCAGAAAAGTCTACCTTCTGCCACTTTTCCAAATGATCAACTAGAAGTCAAGCTATTATAAGTTGCTCTTACAGCTTGTATCAACAACAAGACTTTTGCCAAGTAGTAATAATATTCATGTTTTGACTTTGAAATTATTATAAACATTGTTTCTCCAAAAAAGAATAATTGATTAAAAAATGCTTTAAATTACAAAATTTTAATTTGGATTTTGGAAGAAATATATTTAAACTTTATAGAATAACACTGTGAACTAATACTATAAGTAATAAAGTAAATAATAAATATAAAATAACTGAATTTTCACCTAAACTTTTAAGAAGATGTCAAAAATTCAGCTTTTACAAAAAGATTTTCCCCATTTAATTTTGCTGTGGATGTATCTGGTGCTCTCTTATGGAGCCAGATCCTTTTAAAAAATAATACATTTACAAAATAAAATTCATACATCCACAACACAATTAACATTTACAAAATCCAATTTGTAAGTTCAAAACACGCTTCAAAAAATGCACAAATCCAATTCATAAATTTAAAATCCAACTCAAAAATGCACAAATCCAGTTTGTAAATTTAAAACACAATTAAAAAAATATACAAATCCAATTCATAAATTCAAAACCCAACTCAAAAATACACAAATCCAATTCATTAATTCAAAACACAATGCAAAAATACACAAATTCAATTCATAAAATCAAAACCCAATTTCATAAATACACAAATCCAATTCGTAAATTCCAAACATGATTCAAAAATACTCAAATCTAATTTGTAAATAAAAAAAGGATTAAAAAAAAGACACCAATCCAAGTTGTAAATTCAAAACATGATTTAAAAAATACACAAATACAATTTTTAAGCAAAAAAAGCTATTTAGAAATACACAAATCTAATTCATAAATTCAAAACATGATTCAGAAATACACAAATCCAATTAATAAATTCAAAACACAATTCAAAAGTAAACAAATATTTATAATTTTTACTTGTGAATTCACAAAATGTATTTACAAATTGGATTTTGTAAATGTGAATTGCACTGGATTTTATCTTGTAAATGTATGATTTTTGAGACTGATCTGGCTCCATACTCTCTGAACACAAATATGGCCCTAATAACATAGAATAAGCAATCCTGACACCACATATTTACTCAAGCCAATAAGACCTCCTGGATCTGCATATGTGTGACAATAAGCTGAGCTGTCAGGATGGTGAGGTGTACAGTATGTGGATGCACTGATGAATAGCACAATGCAAACTCTGTGTGTGTGTGTGTGTGTGTGTGTGATGCCACAGTTTGAAGGTCTGATTAATTATTAAAAAAAGTCAAAGAAGAAATCTGAGAGCAGCAGAGCAGCCAACACACACACACACACACACACACACACACAGACACACACACACACACACACACACACACACACACACACACACACACACACACACACACACACATATAAAGTTTCTATATGGCACTGCTTCTCAAGCAATGGGCCGCAGTGGGTGAGAGTAATTGATTTAAAGATGAGAAGAGGGTCTCGTGGGGACAGAAGGCTAGTGTAGAAAGGTTTCCAGACTCCTTAGGGAATCTCTCTCTCTCCGTCTCCTCCCCCATCTCTTTCTGTAAGAGCTCTCCGGCTGTTTGCTCAAGTGGGTTTTATTTGCCAGTCAAGTGGAGCCCATGCTGGTACCACAGAGTGTGTGTGTGTACGCGCATACTTGCATTTCCTCTTCTTTTGTATGTCCATCTATCCAAATTTTCCCTTGCTTTCAGCCTGGCCAACGGTGAAACCTCTGGCTTGTTGAATTCAGATTTGCAGTGCAAGCTCTTTCTCCACAGCATGATAATGGAGAATTAATGCTGAGGTGTGTCATTTTTTTTTAGATTTGAAAATACTTTTTCTGCCTCAGCTAATATGGAGAGGTGGATTTAAGTTAAAAGTGTGTAATCTGTGATTCTTATTTAAGAATGGATATATACAGAATTACTGGCTCAATCAGTGGCATGGGTTTGTCCAGCCAAGTGAAAAGTGCACAGGAAAAGTTTGGAAAAGTTACGTTTATGATGCAGAAATGACACATTTCTATGGAATCAGTTTAGTCTCAAAAGAAATTCACAAAGCACAGCAGCAGCTTGTTTAAATTCATTGGATATAATCAGGGCCGGAGTGGGACTCCTTTTCAGCCCTGGAGTTTCAAGCCTTCGACCGGCCCACCTCAGTTCACGACTGACTATATTAAAATAAGGTAATTTCCAATTCAGTTTCTAATTACACAAAAGTCTTTTTAAAGAAAACAGCTGCTTTAGAACTTCAAATGTTCAACAAACTTACAGTTTTATATGTCTTAACAATAAAAATGAAAAAAAAAAAAAAAAAGCTTAACTCAGGTGAGGATTGAACACGGATCAGCGGCTTGATAACGCAACGTGCTAGAGGTCTGCATTCCCGCGGCTGTCCCGTGGGCGCCGCGGGACCCGACCAGATTTCTACGGCGCGGGTATAAATTTCTGAATAAATCACGGGAGCGGTCGGTAATGGGTTTAATTTGGGACGGGAGCGGGCTGTCTAGCAATATCGCTCCAGACTCCTGAGTGAGCACGCGTATGTATGTGTGTAAATGAAATAGCGCGATGCTGTGTTTAGCTTGTTTGTTGCAGTGTGTCTGTGTGTGTATGTATGCGCACGCGCGAATGAGAGATGTGTGTGTGTGTGTGTGTGTGTGTGTGTGTGTGTGTGTGTGTGTGTGTGAATGAGAGATAGAGAGCTTTGCCTCATTGCCTGTGTTTGTGCTTGGTGCTTATGAGTGTGTGTTAGAGGCCGCGCGCGTGCGAATGAGAGAGAAAGCTTTGTCTGTGTGTGTGCTTGGTGCTGTGCGTGTGTGTGTTTATACAGACAGCTTGTTGTAGGCTGTCTGGACTGTATAACTGGGTGATTTTTCGGTTTTGTTCTCCCCCCGCTCTTTAGCGGGATCGGGTGCGGCGGATAGAAAACGGGGCGGGTCGGGCAGCGGGACATCAAGTGCTTTATATAAGCGGGAGCGGTCGGGTTCCGGCTAAAACCTGGCGGGTGCGGGCGGGAGCGGGATTCAAAATTTAGTCCCGCGCAGATCTCTACAACGTGTTGACCGCTAGACCACAGCAATACTGCTATGCTCAAATTGCCGGAATGACAAGTCATCATTCTGCAGGCTACATTCTGCTCATGAGGCTGCGAGAAAATAAATAAGAAGAGCGGAGCTGCGGCAAAATAACGGATAAAAAGAGTGAGGCTATGGACAAATAATTAAATAAATGAACAAAAGTGCAACTGCGAATGCTGTTTTCTCCGTTCGCCATGCTGGAGAGAAACAGTCTGCGCAAATGAAGCGCAGAGTTGGTGTCATTGACTACAGCTCTCATCTGATTGGCTGAAAGGTACGACTTGCCCTGACTCTGGCAGGAAAGTCTCAAAAATACACACACACACGTATCCAGGGGGAGTCGTATGTGAAAGAGGATTTGCACATTCTCATTTAGGATAAACTCGCAAGTTTTAAACATTCTAAACTTTTTGTTCACTCTTATAAATTTGCAAATCGTGTTTTGCATTTGTGAAACGTATTTTCTGAAAATGTATTTTTATTTTGTGCACGTGAAAATTTTTTGTGAATATAAATAAATATTTTACGCACGTGAATTTGATTTTATGCACGTGAATTTAGCTACGCATGTGTACATCGTGTCTTTTGCATGAATTATTATTGAGTCTAATCTGTCTCCATACATTTCAGCTTTAACAAAGTGTGTATGGAATAAACAATCTCATATTGAGATTTGTGTCCAGTAGAAGCTCTCTGGCCACTCGCAATGGCTTGCTCTTGCTTTTACACCATTTTATTTGTTAATTACACATGTAACATGAAGTTTCATAAACTAATTTCGAGAGGATCACGTTCTGTGATTGACCACAAATGGCCTCACATCAACAATAAAATGATAGACCAATCAGGTGAATTCAAGCCTACATAAATAGGCTTTTTCCATATCTTCCTTATCTTAGTTTTTGAAAAATCTCCCCCTTCTTCCCTCCTACACTTGAGGAACTCTCAATACCTACCTGATCTCAGACCCTCTTCTATACTAACTATCCAGGAGGGAGCCCCAGGTTCAAGGATCTTCAAGTACAGGGCTCTCTGCCGGGACAACATGCCAAACCTGCAATCAGTATCAAGCATTAGCTAAGTGTGAACTCTTGAAAAATGACAGAACACATACTCTACCATTAAACAGCAATGTTTATTAATATGATTTTTCTTCACATAGTAATGATTTTAAAATACATTTTAAGCATATTCTACTGTATGTAATCTATCTTGTGGTCAGTGAGATTTGTAAAACTTCTTTAAAAGCAGTATGCATTCATTTGATTGCAGCATTTTTTGGTCATATAGACTAATGGCTGACGTTCAGTGTTATACTAGGTTACAAATTAATTTCGTTTTGTTTGAAAAGACACTGTTATGCATCTATATTTAGCCCTGTGTTCTGGACGCTCTGGGAAATTTGATTGACTAGTGAACCATTAAATGAACTTTCACTGGATACAAATCACTTCAAGACATTTTTGCTCTCAAAGAAAGCTGTCTTATATTCATTTGTGGGGGTAAATAATAATGCTAAAACATTTATATTTTAATTCATTTTGAATTTCTGCAACTGAAAAAAGTGTTGTGCTCCTTTTATTAAGTTTAATTATTCTTAATTAATGTAAGCAATTAAAGCATTAAAAAGCATTTAAGGGGATTAATAAAAGAGCTAATTCTTGTTGCCATTAGCATTTTAATATATGCAAATGTATGCTCTTATTTGTTAGGCCAATATTTTGAGTACAAAAAATGTATACAGTTTCCTAGAATTGGTGATTTATTGGTCTTTTTATGTTTTAATACACTTTCACTTTTACACATCTCTGTTTCAACAACTTATGATGTTTAACATTCACTTTCAGTGACATTTTTAGCTGTCTGAAACTATATATTGTTGGGCTAGTCATGCAAAGCACTGGGATAAGAGCTGCCAGTACAATTTCTGCTCCTTTCCCAATTTATTTCTTTAAAAAAATATTATATCTTATACAATCCAATGCTTCAGACTACAAGGAAAATGTCAATAAAAGTCACCTTCTTGAACTGCAGAGTTAAATTTTCAACTAAATTATTCAAAAGTGTATTAACACCCACTGAACAATCTGGAGTACTGCATCATATGGGAATTAATAATGGCCAAAGATAAAATGATTTCTAAGATAAAATACTTTTTACATTTTTAAAATTTTTAATATTGAGCTAGTTTCATCTTACCTCACACTCCAACTCTAATGCTGTGTTTACACCAGACATTGAATTCGCAAAAAGTAGAAGCGTGAACATTTTGAGTTTACTCACTTCAATTACACATCAAATTTGCTTCATTCACACGTCAAATTCACTTCACAATAACCGTGGATTCGCGTCATGGGCAGGGCAACTGTCTGCCTGGTGACTCTTTATTCATTACTAAATGGCTAACATGGATTTTATTGAGATAATAGTTGTGTTTATGTGCTTTAGGAAGGCTGAAAAACAGCGTTTATTCGTTCGGCGTCATGTCTGAGTTCAATAGGTCCTTTCAGAGGTGCACCCTGCTCTGTGAGTTCATCAACTCCTCCAGAAACTATACCTGGATTATGGAAGCTTTCAGCAGCACTTCAGACTGAGCCGATCCCAGTTTGATGAAATGTTGTCCGGTGTCTGCAAGAGGATTTCCCCTTGGAAAACCAACAACAGGCACTATGTCATAATCACGCCCTCACAAGAGCAAGCTCCTGATTGGTTAACGTGGCATGAATGTCCGCTGAAGTTAAGATTTCCACGAGCGATTGCAGGATATCTATTTACATCATTGCATTGACTTACAGTAATATGTAAATCACTTGCACTTGATGCTTCATCTGTGTCTGGTGTGAACACAGCATTAAAACTAAAGCACCATTTATTTAGACATTGCTAAATGCAGTAAGACACCTGCCCTAAGCCTAAACTTTTTTTTTTTGTCAAATATTTGCACATTTATCCCCCTTAAAGTCTGCAGAAACTGGAAGCTGTGACTGTTTTATTTATTTATTTATTTTTTTATTGTATTGTATTGTGATGCAGTTCCAGGAGAAATAGATTATTAAATGAGAAAACAGTGGGCATGGCTTGTTTTTGGGGTGTCATTATTTCAATTTTACATGACAAGGGCAAACAACTTTTTTTCCCTTAAAGTCATCCACAGATTAATTGTTCACCACAAAACTAGCATTGTGAGCTAACAAAATCAATATGGTTAGTTTTAATTTCATGTGTACTTTAATGGTGGTTACATCCCTTGTTTGTACATTAGTTTAGAAGTAAGACTAGAGAACCAGTTAAACTAGTTGAAATTGGTTAGGCTTTGAGTAGAACTGACCATACAATATGGTTTAGTTTATGTACAATAAGTGTGCATTGAGTGTCTGAATGACTTAAGTCCATGTTTAATGAAGCACTTTACCCATACTGCACTTGTGTTAGGAGCGCCTGGTGTTGTCTGTGCTGCCGCGCTTCGTTGTGCTGGAGATGATTAACGACATGACCAACGTGGAGGACGAGACCCTACAGCATCAGTTTCACCGGATCTACATCCACCGCTATGAGAACGTGAGGTAATTTCTGTCTTTGTGTTACGGTCTTGACTAGAGCAAAAGAGAATCAACCAGGAATGAATCAGTCATTCGCCATTACGGCTCAGTCAGCCACCATTATGGCTCAGTCATCCACCGTTATGGCTCAGTCATCCTTGATTATGGCTGAGTCACGCTCTTTTATAACCCAAACCAGTAGACCACTGTCGGTCCCTGTAAAAGCAACAAACAAGCTCTTACCAGCCCCCAAAATAGCATTCTGTGGCCATTTGTGTCCAATTGAAGCTATCTGACCACTCCCAATGGCTTGCTCTTGGTTTTACACCATCCATTTTATTAGCGGATTACACAATGTGTATGTAACATGAATTAATTCAAAATTATCTCAGAGACAATGCATGTGCTGCCATTAATTAAAATAAATATGTTTATTAACATGAATTCCCTGCACATAATGATTTGAAAATACATCTTTTGCATATTCTACTGTATGTAATCTGTCTTGTGGTAGGTGAGATTTGTAAAATGATTTTAAAAGAAATTTGCGTTCATTTGCTAACAAAATTCAGTGGTATTGTGAAATATTATTACACTTATTATTAATATATATATTTTACTCCAGTCTTTGATGTTAATTAATTCTTAGAAAAACATTCTAATATACTGATCTGAGGAGTCAAAAGAATCAAAAGAAAATATATTTGAAATATTTTATAACATTACAAGATACTTGACAGTCAATTATGACCAGTGTTAGGGATAACGCATTGCAAGTAACACAAGTTATGCAATAATGTTACTATCTAAGTAAAGAGTAAAGTAAAAAATTTAAGTAATAATATTTGAGTTACTTTTTAGATTAATTAATTAGCTTTTTATATAAAAAGTGGGCGACTCAGTAGCTTAATAGTTAACGCGCTTGCTTAGCAACAAGGAGGACCCGGATTCAAGACCCGGCTGGAGACCTGCACTTTTAGGGCTAGGCAGTGGCGCAGTAGGTAGTGCTGTCGCCTCACAGCAAGAAGGTCGCTGGTTCGAACCTCGGCTCAGTTGGCGTTTCTGTGTGGAGTTTGCATGTTCTCCCTGCCTTCGCGTGGGTTTCCTCCGGGTGCTCCGGTTTCCCCCACAGTCCAATGACATGTGGTACAGGTGAAATGGGTAGGCTAAATTGTCTGTAGTGTATGAGTGAATGTGTGTGTGTGGATGTTTCCCAGAGACAGGTTGCGGCTGGAAGGGCATCCGCTGCGTAAAAACTTGCTGGATAAGTTGGTGGTTCATTCCACTGTGGTGACCCCGGATTAATAAAGGGACTAAGCCGACAAGAAAATTAATGAATGAATAAATAAAGTGCTGGATTAAAATTTGTGTAATCTTGTTGAATCGCACACAATGAGAGAATGAGCTCAAAAACCAAGATGGCAGAGCTTTACATTTCTATGATGGAAGTTTTCTCATTATTTTAAACACATTGAAGAAAATGGGCTTGTCTCAATGGACAGTGATTTTACTGAACTAACAAGACAAAAATACAAAATTAGCAAACACATTGCTTTCAACTTTCAGTAATTTGTATATCTCAGAAAGTTTCTAAAAAGTTTTTTAAAAGGTAAATGAAGGTGTAGGTTATACAGTGTGCTGTTAAATGCAGAGCTCCTCTATTAGAAAAAAGAAAAATAGCCTGCAAGTTCTGAAAGAGATAAAGTAAAATTAACTCAAAAGTAACATAACGCATTACTTTCTATAAAATAAACATAAAAGTACATACAAGTGATGATACTAGTTACTTTTTTGGGGAGTAACTCAATATTGTAATGCATTACTTTTAAAAGTAACTTTCCCCAACACTGATTATGACCTATTAAATGCGTCCTTGTTGAACAGACTCGTATTTAACCCAAAATGGTAAATGGTATATTAAAGTGGACCTATACCAAAAATCATGTTTATAAGGGTTTAAACAAAGTTATGTGGCAACAGTCTGTCAATATAACCAGCTTCTAATGGTAACAATGTATAATATATATAATCACACTTAATAAAAACAGTCTACAGAAACACTTTGGTTGACATTCTCCCTTTTTACGTGTCATCAGAGAGGAAAACCCAGCCCATTAGTGGCAATCTCTCCCTCATTAGAATAGGACATAAGTCTTGTTTTTAAATCTGCCACTATGCTGACACAAAGGCAGCTCCGTAGCTCCGCCCTCTTTTGAAATTAGCAGAGTCTCATTTAAATTTAAAGAGACAGTCACCAAAACAGCACAATTTGGATCAAAGCCTAAAAGGGGCAGTTTATAAAAAGTTATAACATTATCTGTGGGGTATTTTGAGCTGGAACTTGGCATAAAAGTGGCAAAATAGGTCCCCTTTGAGGTACAAACGTCCAAAATCTGTTGTTGGTGCAGCACCACTTTTAAAAATGTACACCCATGTTTCTTTTGTTTGTTTAGCTCTTTATTTATTAATTTAGAGTACATATTTGTGCTTATTAGCACTTAAAAGTACATATTAGTATCTTTTCAAATCACTCTGCATCACTCTGTACCTTTTTTCTGTGAGTAACTAGATTTCACAGCGTGTGTATATAAATTCTCTATTACATTTGGCTTGTATATTTATGCAATCTTGCCTCCTTTTTCACATCAATTCAGTTTTTTCTTCTCATTTCTGTTTTGTACAGTATTCTCTTTGCTGACGTGAAGGGCTTCACCAATCTTTCAACCACACTCTCCGCTCAGGAACTTGTTCGAATGCTCAACGAACTCTTTGCACGATTCGACCGACTGGCACACGTAAGTAAACACACTTTTACCAGAATGCATATGAGTGTAAACTAAATCACAGTGTCTTTCGGGGCATGAAACGTATTAAAGCATTTTACTATGTTTGCCTGATATTGTGTTGTGTTGGCACGACATGCCTCTTTTGTGCCTTAAATCTGACGTTTAAATTTGTTTGTACTGGAGAGTAAAATGTAGTACAGTGGTAGTAGTAAGTCAATAATCATTTTATAGGAATGTTTGCAGTCACATTTATTTCAGAGTTGATATTAATAAGTGCTACAGATATTTTTGTAACACAAATTATGGCTAAAATGGAGTGAGCAAAAAATTGTTTGTTCAGATTGATGTAGTCAAACAGCTTTTTCTGTTATATTCTGTAGACTGAATTCAAATGATCTGAACGTCTCATAGACACTATTTAAGGGCTGTGTATAATAAATACTAATTGGATGTTAACATCTCTTTTTTATATGCTGGCCCTTACATCTTTTTCTTTATTTTTAGGTTTGATGAAACTTAGCGTACAGTAAATATCAATGGCCCTTTAGTCATAATCATTTGAATCACTTGCCATAATTAAATTAAATTTTCAAATTTCGCTAGTTGAAAATGTCAAATAAATCCAAAATGTAGAGAATCACAGCAAGGAAATCATGCCAAATTAGATATTTAGCACTGCCCACTTCCATAAAGCACAGCAAATGCTTTAATGATCTATTTGAATATGCGATTTCAAATAATTTTAAAGGAAAGATTCTGTTAACATAACAAATTTAAGTGGATTTAACATAAAACAATTAAGTTGTCCAAAAAAAGCAGTTTGAACAAGTAGTTAATTATATATATATATATATATATATATATATATATATATATATATATATTTTTTTTTTTTTTTTTTTTTTTTTTTTTGAATGTATGCTTTGTACTACTTTTCTAGCTTTTGCTAAGTTAAACTATAGTGTATTGTGGGGTTATATACTCAATAGTTCCGCTGCATAAAACATATGCCGGAATAGTTGGCGGTTCATTCCACTGTGGCCACCCCTGATAAATAATGGTCTAAGTCAAAAATGAAGGGTTCAGAAATTTTAAATAAAAAATTCACTTTTATAGTTGTCAAATTGAGTTTTAATATATTTATGGCAGGGCATTGACCAAGTATCCTTATGGGGTATGGATCTTAACTTAATATTCTTATTATTTGTTTTGTATAAAAAAACATAATAATTTTAACCTATACAACAAAAATATAGTCTTGCAAAATAAGAGTGATTTTGTCACATTTTACTATGTTGTGTTACCATAGTAATTATAGAATTACCACAGCAGATTAATAGTGGTAATAGTAGAGCGACGCAGTGGCGCAGTAGGTAGTGCTGTCGCCTCACAGCAAGAAGGTTGCTGGGTCGCTGGTTCGAACCTCGACTTCTCTCAGCGTTCACGTGGGTTTCCTCCGGGCGTTCCGGTTTTTCCCACAGTCCAAAGACATGCGGTACAGGTAAATTGGGTAAGCTAAATTGTCCGCAGTGTGTGTGTGTGCGTGTGTGCGCGTGTGCGTGTGTTTGTGTGTGTGTGTGTGTGCATGTGTGTGTGTGCGTGTGTGTGGATGTTTCCCAGGGATGGGTTGCAGCTGAAAGGGCATCCGTTGCGTAAAAGCGTGCTGGATAAGTTGGCGGTTCATTCCGCTGTGGCGACCCCGGATTAATAAAGGGACTAAGCCGACAAGAAAATGAATGAATGAATTAATTCAAGTACTTTATCAGAGTCAAAGTTTAGCAAACCCAAAAAATTTTGTTTTCAAGTGTAATTGGTTAGTAGAGATTTCAAGCGTTATGTGTATATATTTCTTATGTCTGCGAAGCAAGTATTCGCTGAGGTTTGAGTGTGTTTGTTGACCAAAAAAACTGTTGTAAAAACACACATCTGGTCCGAGCTTTTCCCCTAGAGAAACGTCAGTCTATAGTGATTGATGATTGGCTCTTGTACTAGTAGGCGGAGCTTTTTATTCACCATATTGACCGTTACACTTTTCCCCATTCAATACGAGTGACATGTCTTGTGTATTCTTTAGTCTTTGACTTTACTGTAGTACAGTTCAAAAACACTAGAGCAATTACTATAAATTACTGTAGTTGTATTGGTAAATTATAGATTTTTTTTTGTGAATGGACTACCACTTAAAAAATCAATGAAGAATGTAAATTTGGTTTATAACAGTGCTTTATTCACATAAGTCAGAGCTGTTGGCCACAATTGCTCTGCTGTTGGCTCGCTCAAATCAGATGCAGCATGTGCGAAACAAAGAGAAGTGTTGTGTTTGACTGCCAAGGGCACTGCCAGCATATCTTGTCTCGGAGTTTATAGTGGCACCTGATAATCTGAGTTCAGTTCGAGCAGAGAGAAGGGTGCAATGTGTGCCGACTCACCCTCCTTCATGTCCCGCAGTGCAATGATGTGCTAAACGCCTGTTGCAGAAGTCACATAAATAAAAGCACAGTGACCGTGTCCTCACCGTTAATGACACTGATGTATGAGTGTGTGCGTCTGCGGAGAGATACAACCGTCAACTGCTAGCACAAATCTTGATAGCTGCCCTTGGAAGAAAGAACAACACACATACACAAGATCAGATGGATATTATATTTCGGACAAATGTGTTTTTTGTTCAGACCGCAGGAGGAAATAAATGCATTATGAAGATTATTAAACTCCATCTTCACGCAGCAACTCTCCAATAATATTATTCATGATTCAGTGCAATGATCATTGGAGATTAACCAACCATAAAGTGGCTCACTGATGCATAATGCAGATATTCAAATGTGGCATATGCGCGGTTGTATCAGTATGTCATATTCAAATATCCTTGTGTCCTTGTGTTGTGTGAATTCACAGTCGCACTTATTCAGGCAGGCCTGGCGTGGCGTTTCATTCTGCAGCAGTGTTTATTGTGATGAGTGGTATTCATTTTCTCTCCCGATGGCAATGTTTACTCAGAGATGGCACATGTGCGTGGTTTGTGCTGTACTGGTTAACTGCGCTTGAGCTGCCATGTTGTAAATGTTGCAGATGATTTTGATTGCTTGCGTCGTGCCACATCCCGACAACTTTGAACTCTGGAGATCGGGATCTGGATGTCTTACAGGCTCAGCAGCATTATCTTTAACAAATCTGTCTCGCTCTCTTGCTGTCTGTTTCTCTCTGGCTCTCTGTTTTTCTCCTCACACTGCCTGATGGGAAATGCGCATTAACCCTCTCATTACTTAAAGTGCGATCAAAGTGTGTCAACGTCTTGTAATCCCCAGAAGAATATGGCTTGTTTTTTTTAAGATGTGTGCTATGGAAAACATGTTTTTAGAGGTATGCTCTGGTAATAGCTGTTATTTACAGAAATACATTGGAGTAGCGTGTTATGTTATCAGTTTGTCTTTTACATACTGTAGGAAACAAATCCATGACCTTGACGTGTCTAGCAGAAACTAAGCTGCTGATACGTATGATTAAGAGCCCTTTTAAAATTTAAAACAATCAGTATGTTTTATATATTTTTATGTTACTTTACCTAAATTATATATTTTACAGTATATGCTAATCATTTTTATGAAATTGATGGTCATATATATATATATATATATATATTACAGTTGAAGTCAGAATTATTAGCCCCCCTGTTAATTTTTCCCCCAATTTCTGAATTTTCACCAAATTTTAACAGAGAGCAGATTTATTTTTTTCAAAACATTTCTAAACATAATAGTATTAATAGCTCCTTTCTAATAACCAATTTGTTTTATCTTTGCTATGATGACAGCAAATAATTGATTAGATATTTTTCAAGACACTTCTATACTGCTTAAAGTCACATTTAAAGGCTTAACTAGGTAGGTTAACTAGGCAGGTTAGGGTAATTAGACAAGTTATTGTATAACAATGGTTGGTTCTGTAGACTATCAAAAAAATATAGCTTAAAGGGGCTAATAATTTTGACCTTAAAATAGTTTTTAAAAACTTAAAAGCTGCTTTCATTCTTGCCAAAATTAAACAAATAAGACTTTCTCCAGAAGAAAAAATATTATCAGACATACTGTGAAAATTTCCTTGCTCTGTTAAACATCATTTTGGGAAATATTTAGAAAAGAAAAACAAAAAAGGTAGGCTAATAAATCTGACTTCAACTGTATATATGAAATGTGAAAAGGTGTTATTTTTTTCTGTTTCAGATCATTAAACAAATTTGTACTGTAAACAATCAAAGATTACACAAGTAAACATTGTGCTGTTTTTAAATCAAGGTTTTTGTTATTAAGGGAAAACAAAATCAAAACCACATAGCCCTGTAGGGAAAAGGTTCTTTGTTAAAAATACCGGATTTTCCGCACTGTAAGGTACACCTATGAGCCTTAAATTTTGTCAAAAATCGTCCGTCACCTGAAAATCTGTTGCACCCCATGTGTGCACTGAGTTCCAAAATCTATAAAAATGTTGTTGTGCAACTTGATTGGCTGTTTGAGCATTTCCTGCCAACACCAGGAACGTAATATGTACAATATGTACGCTGGGAGCGATTAACAAAATTAATCCAATTATTCCAATAATTCCAATTGGTGTAAACGGTGTTCAAAGTGAAGTTGCGAGCGGCGTGGGAGCGATGGATAAAGGACGGCGAATACACCTTTACTAAGACTGGTAGGCAGTGCCAGGCAAGTTTCGCCACCATATGGGAATAGATTGTGGATGCCAAAGCTAAGTTATTTGCTTTAACTGTTGCCCAAGCTTTCACAAAAGCCGGCATCATTGCTGAACAGCCACCTAGCAACGAGACTAACTCTGAGAATGATGAGAAAGAACCCGGCATGTTTGATGGCGAAATTGCTCAGCTGTTCAAATCAGACACAGAAGATGAGGACTTTGATGGATTTGTGGGAGAAGATTGATAAAAAAATATTGTGAGTTTATTGTTAAATAGTAGAATAAAGTTCAACTAAACTCACTGTTTCTTTCTATTACCTTTTTTTTGTAGACTGTATGTTTTAGCATTTACCTTATAATACGGTGCATCTTATGTATAGTTTAAATATAGATGTAGATCCCATAATTGAGACTGCATTCTATAATCTGGTGCACCTTATGGTGCAGAAAAATGCTGCCACAGCTGTTCGCAATCAAGAAATCACTTTAAATAGGACCTGCCTGACAAAGTGTACAAAGTAAACCAAAAGATCCTCAAAAGGAAGACTTTTATTATTTTTAGAACAAGCCGAGATCCAAAGAAATTCAAAAACAAATGAGAAAGAAAACAATTGAGATCTACCAGATTGTAAATGGTAGAAAAGCAGTTTCTAAAGCTTTTGAACTGCAGTGACAAAAATATAGGACAGTGTTGAACCATCCCAAAAGTGTCTGGCTTATCAAAAGACCCCACAACGATATCTAAAGACCTGCAGGCCTGTCAGTTAAGGTAAAGCAGGTCGCACACCAGAAGCGCCGCTCGGCGGCGCGCCGCGCAGCGCCACGCAGCGCCATGTATTTTAGAATTCTAATCATAGGTTTCTATCAGGATACACACACCGGCGCCGCAAGTCGGCGGCGCCCGGCGACGGCTCAGGACGCAGTTCATTTTTCAGCCGCGCCACAGAGCGCCATCTGATTAGTTTCATGTTAAATATCATTCGAATGTGCGCGTCTGGTGTGCGATACTTTAATCTGTCATGTACGCGCCGTGTCGCGGCGCCGAGCGGCGCTTCTGGTGTGCGACCTGCTTAAGTGTTCATGTATCCACCATCAGAAAGAGACTGGACAAAATAGAAATTTTGTAAATCAGTTTTGTAACAGTAAAATGTGGTGGTGGTGGTAGTGTTATTGTCTGGGGCTGTTTTGCTGCTTTAAAACCTGGAGGACTTTCTGTGATTAATGGAACCATGAATTCTGCTGTGTACCAAAATATCTTAAGGAAGACTGTCTGGCCATCTGTTAGTGACTTTAACCTAAAGCAAAATTGGGATCTAGAGCAGGAAAATCTTCCAAAGCCTACCAGCAAGTCCGCTTCTTAATCGCTGAAGGAAAAACATAATAAAGACTTTGGAGTGGCCTAGTCAGAGTCCTGACGTGAATAGAATTGAGATGCCGTGGCATGACCTTAAAAAAGGTGGTTCATGCTGAAAAACCCTCCAATATGGCTGAATTAGAACAATTCTGCAAAGATGAGTGGGCCAAAGTTTCTTTGCAGCTCTGTAGTAGACTCATTGCAAGTTATCGAAAATTCTTGATTGCAGTTCTTTCTTCCAAGGGTGGCCCAGTTAATAGGTTTAAGGGATAAATATAAATATTTTTTTTCACACAGGGCCAAGTATTTTTTAAATTTAGTTTTTCCTTAATTATAAAAACCTTAATTTCTAAACTGCATGATATCTTATCATGTGTTATCTTTCATATGTGACTAATATAATTTGCTGAACTAAAACATTAGTGTGACATAATAAAAGCTGTTATTTTGCGGGAAGTTTCATTTAATGTGCTCTTTTTTTAGCATCACACTTTTACATTTGCGGTTAAAGTATGTTTGAGTGTGTTCATTTCATGCTAGTCTCTATGTTTGTATCCATTAAATTGGCCCAAAGTTTGGTATTGATTATGTAAATGGCATTCACTTAGCCTGCAGCATTTAGCCTTCAGATTAGCACTAGTGCTTCAAACATGTTATCACGAGTCAGTCCGCAGCTAATCGAAGCTGCACTGTAAAAAATCCAACTTGACAAATGTTGAAATTGCTTGATTTTTTTTGTTGGTTCAGCAAAAATCTGTAAAAAAGTCTGTACAACTACATTTAACACATTCAATCAACTTAAACAAAGATTTTATTCATTAAGTTAAAAAGATGAGTTTTGTGAGCAACACTTTGCTAGTTCATTCAAAAAAGCATCTGCCAACTTGTTTTTTTGTGTTAAGTCAATCTCTGACTTTTTTAATGCAATGAATATACAAGTAGCATAACCTTTTGTTGATTGAAAAGGTTTCAAACATGTTAAATATTCTAAAAAAATTATCAATGGCAGTATAGAACCTTTTCCCAGAGATGGGTTGGGGCTGGAAGGGCATCCGCTGCGTAAAAACCTGCTGGATAAGTTGGCGGTTCATTCCGCTGTGGCGACCCCAGATTAATAAAGGGACTAAGCCAACAAGAAAATGAATGAATGAGTATAGAACCTTTCATGGTTTGTATTAAATGTAAATGCTGAGTGAGAATGCTATTATTATTATTATTATTATTAATACAATAATAAATATCGTTATTCTTCACATTGTTATTAAAAACAACAAAAAACACTACAATACTTATAGTAACTTTATTTGAAACTTTTCATTTGCAATTTAACTTTATTTGGTGCACATTTGCAGAAATAAGCTTGCACGCACATTATCATCTCGTGTTTATTCATTACCCTTTAAAAAAAGAAAGGCATACTTTGATATTCCAATATTTAAAAATAAACCACGCACTCAAAAATATGTTTCTCAAATGACGATATAGCATCATTCTGTCTTGAGCTAAACCACGCCCTCGTTACGATGGTTGCGCTTACGTAACGTCAACGTCTCAGGCGGGAGAAACTGGAAGCATTGTACTTCGGTGGGGAAAGAGGCAAGCCGTGGAAGAGCAATCTTAATAGTAAGTGTGCAAAGATTGTAGTTCTTTGTTTAAGACACTTCATCTAAATTTGTCATCCTAAATGTTCATCATATACGCGCAAAAATGTGTGCAGATGCGGCGCTTAGTGATTATTCACATAATCTCTCTTTGTTATGTGATAAGAGTGAATGAATATTTGTGTTGCCGTAAATCATATCCATGCCCCGGGTAGCAGGAAGTAATCGGCCCGAGCTCGGCTGCCCTTCGGCGCCTCCGGCTCCGACTCGGCATCAACGAGTGTTATACGGGCGGAGTGTGGCCCGCAGCTCGCTCGCGCACATGCGTTTGTGATGCAGCTGTAAACACTGGCCAGATTCCTGTTAACCCTATCTGGCCCGAGTCTGTCTCGGCTCGTATAAGGACTCGGCTTGTGTAACTGATGACAACCGATTAAATTCTTATTTTATCTAGTAATTTGTTAGCTCCACGTTTAATGATATTTTGAGAAAATATATATGGTACAACAGCAACAAAATAATAAAAACATTTAGTGTGGATGGTCGCAATGTTTAGATGCAAACAAAACAATATTATTTATAAATGGATTATATATATCATCTAGGGAAAACAGTGTAAAATGCGCTTATTTTCGAGATAGCACACTTCCATGCAGACTGTTTTTTTAAGCAGAAGTTTGGTTTCATAAGAAACACATGCGTGAGTCAACTCTTGGTCCAAACTCCAATCCAGACGGTGGCGGTAATGTTCCAAAAGCTGGTTGCCAACCGCTATGATGATCACAAGAAGAAAAAGAAGTTTGGCGTTTCAAAACAGTGGATTCCGGTCAGAAAGGTAAGGTTTTTGCTGCTTGTATACTGTATACTTTGCGAATTTAATGCTTAAAACATTTTCACAGTGTTAGGTTATTGTTAAGTTATTGTTTAACTTGTTTATGCAGTGCATCAGTGATCGTTTACTGTTCTCTTTAAATTATCATTATATTATTAAGAGAAATATATTAGTATGTGCTTTAATTTATATGTGTTAGCCTATGTGAATCAATTATATCTTATGTTCAAGTTGTAGTTTGCGCATGTAAAACTAAATTTCTTAAAGCAGATTTTGATGGGTTTTATTTTTTGGTTATTGACAGTTATACTTTCTGATTTAAATGAATGGGTATAAATGAATATTTTTTTGGATAAGTCTTACTGTTCTTGTTTAACAAAGGTTAGTGAGGTCATTTTGTAGCACATCACAGAGACCAATAGCACATTCTTATGAACATGTGAATAGGCATGTTATAGTTGGGTGATTAAAGTCCATGCTGTAAACTGCTGATACATTTTCAACATAGATTGAGCTTTTCAGACTTTACATTACTAATTGCTTCACAAACAGCTGAAATGGTTTATTGTTATTGGCTATCATCATCATCAAACATTTTCCACAATGGTAGGTTAATCTTCATGGGTACAGAATAATGCATGTGCTTGGCCATCTTACAAATCTATGTCTAAGATTCATATGGCTGTCACTATGCATGAATCTCTGAATAAATCCTGTGTGCTGATTATTTACACCATAGGTATTATAGCCATTAATTAACTTTGATAGTATTTCAGGATTTTAACTTTTTGGGGGGAGGTTAACAACAATGTGATGTTTTATTATAGACACACATGAGGAAGCTCGACTCAGCTTGGCTTGCAGACAGATGAGGACGGTGATTGCCCGTCATACACCTAAAGAAAGAACAGGTTTGTTTGCAATTATTTTAAACACATACTGTCAACATTATGTCATTGATCTATTACACTGTCATTGTCATTGATCTAGTGTCCTGCACTATACTAAAATAATGTTTTGTTTTGTAAATGTATCTGATCAAGGGGCATTAAAGACACAACTATAGTGAACGTGATGAAGAAAAATTATTTGGAACAAAGAGGCTGGAGAAAAAACTGATATGAAGATTTCAGAAATTGATGCAGCACCGCAAGTACCATCACCACCAATGACTATGGCAGGATCCTTAAGAACACCATCAAGATGCACAGATGCTGTACATTCCAGTACACCTATGAACATTTACAGTCCTTGTTCAAGTGCAGTCGGAGATCAAGACAACTTATTGCAACTCGTCATGTCTTTGTAAGAATTCAAGACATCACTAAATTTGTAATGGCTTAATGCAGCTAGAAAGTAAAGATCAACTAGAGAATATCAGCAGTGTCTAACCCACTGTTGTATTTACACAAGTTGCATGAGAATAAGCAACAGGTTGATTTATACTAATTTGTTATTTTTCTTTTTTAGCACGACTGAAAAAAAGTTTTAAAATCATGTGACGTCATAAAGCAGCAACTGTGCCTGATTCTCACAAATCAGCAAAACCAAAACAGACGTGATGAAATTCCAGATGTAAACACATTTGACCTTTCTTTGTCCAATTTGATTTGGAAAAACTTGAAAATCAACTAAACGAGCAGCCCGAACAAATGAAGAAACTGGTAAGTTTCTTGCTTATTTCTAAGTGTTTTATGTTTATTTATTTATTTATGTGTTTTTTTGCTTCGTAGGTAGCCTACTTTGGAATCATTGGTGTTTTCCACTAAGCAGTTTGGTGTGTCCCGGGAAAGCTTTTGGCTCACTTTTTGGCTGAACAAATTAACTGGAGCAGGGCAAACCAAAATGTGGCCTTTCATGCACTCTCCCTTACGACTGTCTAGTCAGTAAGTTGGTTTTAAATATACATTTCAGTACAATTAGGGGCAGTTCCATCTGTGTATTTCTTTGAATCATTAATCAAAGGAACAAAACATCTATATATAGTCCCATTTAGGTTGTACTTATATGAGAGCAAGCATCTTTCTTTTTTCATTTGTACTTTTTCACTACTAATTGTTTGTTTATCTTTTAATCACAGATGTAGTGAGGAGAAATGTCCATACCACATCACTGATAAAGAAGTGGAAAAATGCATTACAAGGTGGCTACAACGTGCTCCTGACAGGGCTGGAGGAAGGAGGGAAGAAGAGAAAGCTAATGTGTCAAATGTCTACATCAATAATTTATTTTTTAAACAACATTTTAAGTGTATTAAGATGTTCCCTGATACTTGGGTAATTTGTTTCTTTTATTTGCAATTTATATATATATATATATATATATATATATATATATATATATATATATATATATATATATATAATGACAATATGCTAAATTCTGAAAAAGCATCTTAATACATTTTTAATTAACATAATATAATAAAAATATGAAAAAAAAATTGCACAAGACATATAAAGATATACAAGTCAAATTTGATATATATATATATATATATATATATATATATATATATATATATATATATATATATATATATATAATCATCTCACTCATTTAAATGTATTATGTTTTATTTATTAAAAATGTTTCTTAAGAATTCTGCAGTTCTTTTTACAATTTTGACTTGTATATTTTACATATTGTCATGGGTATTTGTAAGATGTTTCTTACATATGCTAAATATGCTAAATTCTGAAAAAGCATCTTAATACATTTTTAATTAACATAATATAATAAAAATATTAATAACAAATTGCACAAGACATATAAAGATATACAAGTCAAATTATATATATATATATATATATATATATATATATATATATATATATATGTATATATATATATATATATATATATATATATATATATATATATATATAATCATCTCACTCATTTAAATGTATTATTATGTTTTATTTATTACATTTATTAAAAATGTTTCTTAAGAATTCTGCAGTTCTTTTTACATTTTTGACTTGTATATTTTACATATTGTCATGGGTATTTGTAAGATGTTTCTTGCTATATCTTAAATTGGTTTCTATATTCAGGTTTATATAAAATTAAGCTGTTTTAAGATGTGTCTTGTACAATTTTTTAATTCAAGTCTATTGGAAAAACAGGGTTGTTTTAAAAACTTCTGTGTATGTGTGCAATTTCAGATTTTGTCTTTAAATCTTCCTGTGTGTCTTTATTGTGTAGTTTTATTATTACTTGTGCACTACAAAATATTTTATTCAAGTTTAGTATTATTTGTTTATTGCAATCAATAAATGTTTAATATTATTTATTTTGTCCTTTGTTTGATAATTTTTGTTATTGGATATGTATGCTGTTTGCATTTTATTCAAAGGTTGAACGCAGTGCCTACACTTTGCCTTTACATAATAGCCTGCGTTTGCTGGTATATAAATGCAAATGGTTGTAATACCATGTATCAAGTACCAATATAATACCAAAAGGTTTTATATCAAGGTATATTGAGTTGCGCCAGCTCCCGGCTGCAGCGCACATTACTCACGGGCCGATTCTGGCTCGGATGCGGCAGCGAATCTAGCTGGAACTGGCCCAAGTGTATTTTACTATCTAGGGTGGCTCTTAAAGTGACAGCGCGTATATTCCAACTGCTTATTATTATATTAAGCAAACAAAATCAAATCAAAACCAAAATAATAGTAATAAATCGTTCATTTTGAACTGAAGGTGTATTCAGTGGAACACTTATTACTAAAGTAAGATCCTTTACTGGCAGTTTTAATATCATATTTATCCATGACCAGCCAAGGTACTAGCACAAAACATGTAATTATGCAAGTATAGATTTTGAAATGAATTACAACAAATACTAAGATTTATATCTCAAGGCAACTAGTAATTCAGATTGATTGCTCTAATTGCCCTGCTGAAAAAAAAAAAAAAAAAAAAACAGCATATGCTGGGAAGGTATATGTTTTGATGCTGGTATGCTGGTCTTGCTTGTTTTAATGCTGGTTTTGCTGGTCTTAATGTTGGTTTTGCTGGTCTCAATGCTGGTCCTAATGCTGGTTTCAATGTTGGTCTTGCTGGTCTCAATGCTGGTCAGGAGCAGCACTTAGACCAGCAAAACCAGCACTGAAACCAGCAAGACCAGCATTGAGACAAGCAAAACCAGCATTGAGACCAGCATCAAAACATACCTTACCAGCTTACGCTGTTTTTTCAGCAGGGTGTTGTGAATAATTTATGGGATATTCTAAGGTTATTAAAATTGATAGTGTTAGGTAGTCTCAGAGATGTGCTGTAATTGTTATATATTTAATATAATTGTGTTTCCTTTTCATGTGATTAATTTGACTTAGTGTTTGTGTTTTTTGACTTAGTGTTTCTTGAACCGCAAGAAAATGAATGTTTTGGTAAAATATATGTCTTTTTTTGCCATGTGTGTTTACTCCGATAACATTTTATTTATTAGTACTAATTTCCAATTGTATTTTTTTGGTTCATTTAACTTCTGTAGTTTCAGACCATTCAGACAAGAAATGTTCAGTCAGCAGAACTTAAAAAAACAGAGCCATGTGTGTTTGCTCGGATAACATATAATTTCTTAGTACTAATTTCCTTTTGTATTTTCTTGTTCTCTCAACTTCTGTCATTTTTGGCCATCCAGACAAGAAATGTTCAGTTAACACAACTTTTGCTCTGGTAACATATAATTTCTTAGTACTAATTTCCTTTTGTATTTTCTTGTTCACTCAACTTCTGTCATTTCAGGCCATCCAGACAAGAAATGTTCAGTTAACACAACTTTTGCTCTGGTAACATATAATTTCTTAGTACTAATTTCCTTTTGTATTTTCTTGTTCACTCAACTTCTGTCATTTCAGTCCTGCAGACAAGAAATGTTCAGTTTGCACAACTTAAAAATATTTGTTGTGCTGCAGGTGCAGGTTTCCAGAAAACTACTAATGTTAAGTTGACTCAACTAGACATTTTTTGTTTCACTGACAAATTATTTTCAGTCAGTGTAGCTGATGTTTTCAAAAGTTGAGTAAACAAGAAAAAACAGAAGGAAATTAGTACTAAGATTTTTTTTGTTGAACTGGCTTAAAATTTTTTACAGTGTGTAGGTGGTGTTTTTAGTGACTGACAAATGCCTGTTACGGGCGTAACGGCTTTTTGTTTCCATACAGCCATTTACTGAGCTGTGAAAAGACGTTAATACGGCAGTAGGCATGAGTAATGGATCTCAGAGAGGCAGAATGAGTGAGTGGCAGCTTTATAATTACCACCCTCTCTGAGCTCCACACAAAATCCTGGCAGCCTGAGAGATAACTAACACAGATAGTGCTTAAATGGAAATTACAGGCTGATTGCAGTCATAAATGCTCAAACTCCAATATGGCGCTCACATGTGCATGGGCTGTAAGAAGTTGCTAGTTGAAAGTAACACAGTGATGCAGAGCTGACTTGCGGTGTTACACAGGGACCGATTCCTGTACCCCAGCTATTCTCATTATATATGATGCCCTTAGAAACTATTATGAGAAAGTTAGGAATTATGTATCACTGCTTATGCAGATGATACACAGCTTTATATACCTGTCCAAAAAATGATAGCTTAACCCTCATGAGATTACAAGATTGTCTTCGCGAAATCAAGCTCTGACTCACCGGTAACTTTATGCTTTTGAAGGAAGATAAAACCAGAGTTATTCTTTTTGGTCCACCACAGCTTTCTAGCAAACCACTTAGGGCTGTGTGATTAATCGAAAATTCGGTTTCGATTTTGACTTCTAAAGATTATGAAAAAGCATTAATCGAGATAAAATGATTACTCATCATTTACCGCCCTCTTTCCAGTTGTGCACATTAGTTGCTCTGCAAAGCTTAGTTTTATGTGAAAATGACTAAAAGCAGGTACTTTAATGTAACTTTCGCAGCACAGGATGCGCATCATTCATTGATGTAGATTCGAATCATTCATTTTTTTAAAAGCACGAAAGAGCGCATGCTGTTTTGTGTGCATGCGCTCAGCCTCAGAGACGAGCAGAGCACACACATCTAAAGTGATCTTAATGTGAGCGCTTTAATGATCAAATACATGCAAATTTGTGTCAAAATTTGTGGTGTTTAGTGATTATTCATATTAACCCTGATTTATGTAAGAAACAAACGAGTTGAGGATCAAAAGACATGTGAAAGTGAAACCATTAATTAAGACCGCACTGCTCTTAAAGGGACAGCGTGCAATATTCCTGCTGCCGACTGTTTTTATTATTAATCAAACAACAACAGGACAAAATCACTCACTGCTTCTGACTGTGGAGATTTTTCTATTTCCTATCGAATAATTTTGACTTCAACTGATAATCATTTTGAATAATCGTGATTACAATTATGACCAAAATAATCGTGATTATGATTTCTCCCATAATCGAGCAACCCTAAAACCACCTACCGATCTTGGTGTATTAAACTGTTACCTCACCTCTGAAGTTAAAAACCTTGGGTTTCTACTTGACAGTAGTCTTAAACTTGACAAACAAATAAGTAAAATAGTAAGTTACATTTTTATCATCTACGACGACTAGCCAAAGTGAAACCCTTCCTGAGCAGGAAGGTCTTTGAAACGCCTATTCATTCTTTTATTTTCACGCGATTAGATTCTTGTAATTCTTTATATATTGGTCTACCTTCATCTTCTATTTCTAGACTTCAAATGGTCAAAATTGTGGCCGCCCGTTTGCTCACGAGTAGCCACAAATATGACTATATCTGTGATCACCAATATTGCGATCACTACATTGGTTGCCGGTTCATTTCCAAATACACAAAAATTTTACTCTTTGTTTATAAAACCTTGCATAACCTACCGCCACCGTATCTTTCTGATCTGATCACTACCAAGGCCCAAACCCAATCGCTTAGATCAAATTCCGACTGCCATCTATTGCAAATACCTCGAACTTGTTTCAAATGCGGGGGCGATAGAGCTTTTGTCGCTGTGGGTCCGAAAACTATAGAATAAGTTTCCATTAAAAATCAGAATAGCACCCACTCTATCTGTTTTTAAATCGATGTTAAAGACTCATCTTTTTTTAAGTGCATTTAGTATTCCCTAATGGCAGTTTACAGGCTATACTAAATTACTTCTTTCTAGGAAACGTTTACTGTTCTTGCTATTGTTTTATATTGTTGTTTTTATTGTAGTGTATTACTGTTTTTTTACTTGCTACTGCTATTGTACAGCACCTTGGTCGACCAAAGGTTGTGATAAGTGTGCACTAGAAATAAACTTTGATTTTACTTTGATTTGAGTTTCTCAAAGCTCTGACAACATTTGCTTTCTAATCTATAAAAGCACATTCAGCTGTCAAATATCACGTGATTTCATGGTTAGGTCCAGAATAAGTGCAGAAAGTAAATGTATTGGTACTTTTTCCCACACTGTAAAAATGACAGTGATTTCAATTGTAAGAATCTGTAACTTGTTTAAAAATAGGGTTTGTTACTATATAAATGACCACAAATTCACTTTTTCCCTGAATTCCATGCATGAAAAATTTTTGTTGACATTATTTTTTTTTTGTTTCATGAGTTATGTAGAGTTTTAAGTTGCATCTAATGTTGATGAGTAATGTTTATTGTGGTACTTTAATTCATGTCCTACCATGATGGTGTTTAATAGTTGTGTGAATGACACTGAGCACCTTCTATATATTAGTATGTGTCTTTGCTTGTGGGAAAAGTTGTTTGTGATGAGTTTTGATTCATTATGACTTTCTCATCTCCACCATATGACGTGTTTTTGTCTGTGTGACAAAGCTACGTTGTGTGAATGTTAGTACTTTAACATTGGGGTATGACAGTAAATTAATGAATTATGGTAATTTACTGTAATATTTTAAAATATATTATTATATTACACACTGTATTTTGACAGGAAAATTTTGTAAACCACAGCTGCTGTTTTTTTACAATAAATTTTACAGATCCTTTTTACTGTGTTATTTACAAACTGTCTTTCTCTTTTTGTCAACGTAATTATCAATCTACAGGTCATTTACTGCTATAACACATCCTTAAGTTTGCATTGTCTGAGATTTTTCCAGTTATTTTTGTAACACTGCTAATAGCCTTTTTTCCATATCCACATATGAGTTTGCAGTGTTTTCGTTTAGATGTTTAATCAGACCAATGCATGTTGCCAATAATAAGAAGTAAATTCTACATAATTACATTTTGCACAGAAAGTTTGACATTTGATAGAATTGATAAAATGAAAATTAAAAACTATTAACAGTTTTTGCAACAATAAAGGACCAAATATGTTTGCAATTACTGTACGTATTAACAAGTACATATGCATATAAGACATATATATATTTAATATAAACACAAATAAAGCCAGTAAATCTACCATATATTGTTTTTTTACAGGGTGTCTGTGGAGTCTTAAGTCTTAAAATGTCCTAAATTTCAATTAGGCAATTAGGCCTTAAAAAAAGTCACAAAAATATTGTGTCAAAGGTCTTAAATCATTTTTTTCTGTTCAACTAAAGCTACCCAATCGGGCCAACACACATCCAATTATCAACAATCCATCTAAATAAAACTTCTTTTTTTTATGCAAAGAGATACAATCACAACAGCTGTCTTTTGTCTGCAATCACAAAATCTATACATTAAATTCCCTAATCAGGTAAAGAAAACTATAAACAATTACATAATTACTCATGACAATAACAGGGCAATATATGCCTTTATACTGTATGATCTTCCATTTATACAAATTCGGTTTAAAAAGATGTTGAAAAAAATTTGACAGGTGGCTAAAAAATAACAACTTTTTGATATATATATATATATATATATATATATATATATATATATATATATATATATATATATATATATATATATTTTTTTTTTTTTTTTTTTTTTTTTTGTGGCAAGCAAAAAGCAAATTTCATTTAAAAAGAAATCCTGAGCGTTTAGCCCTGTATAAGTCTAAAATTTTATTTAAAATGGTCTTTAATGGGTCTTTAAAAGTCTTAAATTTGACTTGATGTAACCTGCAGAAACCCTGATTGATTATTTGTCTAGCATATACTTTTGTCCCTACTGACAGGGTTAAATGTTACAGTGTGCAATTTGTGCTTAAAGTGAAACTATTTTGAAGTTGTTGGACATTTACCACCTGATATTGAACCATCCCTTCATTGATCTAACTTTATGAATAAATAAAATGAGTTTTATTGGGATTGATTTGGTCATTCTGTTTATGGTTTGACATCTTTCTTCTTTTCCCCTCAGGAGCATCATTGTCTGAGGATCAAGATACTGGGGGATTGTTATTATTGTGTTTCTGGCCTTCCTGAGCCTCGGCCAGATCATGCTCACTGCTGCGTTGAGATGGGCCTCAGCATGATCAAAACCATCAGGTAATAGGAAAACAAATCATGCTAGATGTAGCTAGCTTAAATGCACAGATTTGTGCAATTTTACAGATACAAACCCACTTGAATAAAGCTAGGTTTTTTAAATGAGCATTATATTCCAACATGAATGTAAAATTACTTAGGTTACTGTCCAGGTTGCAGACAAATTGTATTGTTTAGAGCAGTGTTTCCCAACCCTGTTTCTGAAGGCACACCAACAAAACACATTTTCAACCTCTTCCTAATCAAACACCCCTAAATCAACTCATTAAAACATTAGAAGAGACTCCAAATTCTGAAGTTAATGGGTCAGATAAGGGAGACATCCAAAATTTTTGGTGTGCTTCAAGGAACAGGGTTGGAAAACATTGGTTTAGAAAGACACAAATGAGCAGGGCCAGACAGAATCAGAAGAAACTTTTTGCTGTTTCTCTGCAGAAAAAAATGGTGGATTTATGCATAGTAATTTAAAGAGTCTAGTAACAAAAAACATAACATTTAACTTAAATATAATACATTTTTTAATCTTGTTTACAATGCAAACCCAATTAAAACCACTCCCACATAATACATCCACCGAAACACTGAAAATATTACTTCATCAACTGTATTGTACATAAATTATATTAACAGTTACTTGTTATGTAATAATATTTATGAAAATAATATAAAAACTGAGTAAAAATATAATTACACACATTTACATAAGAAAATAAGGATGTATTTATTTATGAAATTATTATGGATTATATAGTCCAGTGCTCAAAAAACTAGAACGTTAACCAAAAACTTTATAGACATCAATTACTAAATGAAATGAAGCCACATCAAGTCATCTTTATTTTTAAAAATCACATTTACTGAGGTTTTCAAAACAGCAATAAGCAACTGCGACTAGACAAGTGTCATTATTCAGCTGCTGTCAGATCATTTTTGATTCAGTTTAGTTCATTCATTATCGAACAAGTTCTAGTGCTGTTCAGCAAGTTCAGTGCCATCAAATCAATGATATTAATGAATGTTAAGTGCCTTTATGAGCAAGCTGTAGGCGACAATTATGAGGACAGCAACCATGTTCCTGTCCTTCCATAGATTTTCATTTTCTTTACATGGAACATAAGAAATTCACTCAAAAGTCATCATTTACTCATCAACGTCTTTGAGTTTCTTTCTTTTGTTGAACACAAAGGAAGAAATACAGAAGAATGTTGGGGAAAAGACTTGATGGTATTTTTGGGTTCTACTATGGATGTCAGTGGGTTTTTCTCCCAAACTTTTATTTGGAATATCTTGTTTTATGTCCAAATGAAAAAAAAGAAGTTCATAAAAGTTTATAATCATTTAGTAATGTGCTTTAACAAATGGTGAGGATATTTTCATTTTTGAGTGAACTTTAAGCCTCAGATTGACAAATAAAAACAAATAAGTGATCTATATAAATCTCAAAGTACTACTTTTTCTTTTATTATAAGTCGTAATTCATTGATTTTCACTTAAGATGACATTCGTCATACTGTAGTGGTCTTCATTGACAGATATAACCTCTGGTTGGTGACTTAGGCCCTGTTTACCCTGCCAGTTAAATGTGACCCAATTCCGATTTTTTGCTCATATGTGACAGATCAGATCTGTTCTATGGCTGTGTTAACAAGAAAAAACGCATGCATTTAGATATTCAGAGGTCCGTTTAGGCCTCCTTTAAATCAAATATAATTCGCATATGTGACAATGCGACTGTCATGTAAACAGGCAGATCGGATTTATTGAGGCATTCCATTCGGTACACCGTTAAACTTGCAGCAATGTGGTCCTTCTCTGCGGTTTAATGACATAGAAAGAAGAGCGTGTGTGGAGATGCCGACGCGGTAAACAACAACAACAGAGGAAACATGGAGGAGGAAAGTGGTCATTCGCCGCAATTTGCTCCCACCAGACCTGAGATGTCTCTCGTACCCACAAATTCCTCTGAATGGTGGAGGACACCATACAGCATATAAACCTTAGGCGCAAGCTGCGATGACGGCCCTTTCCCTACTCCTCCACCTCAAAATCATTTTAAAGTTGGGCGAACTTCACATTGTAACTTTTGCTTTTTGTCGCTATAAATACACGCACTGCGGGCTACACATAGAACAACTTTATTCTCTCCAACACCAGTGCGCACACAGGCAAAGGCTACATCTTTAACTATAACACACACATCAGGACCATACCATTACATAAACTGCGTGGGGGTAAATCTGGACTAAACCATTCACTGCTTATACTACACTTTGCATATTTCGCAGAGCTAAAAACAAGACAATTTCTTCTATCATGGCTAGTGTGGCGCAGATGCTAGAACCCACCTTTACGCATGCGTGACATCGTCAATTGTATGGCATGTGTAAACACATGAATTGGATTTGGGTCACTATTAAAGGAAAGTGTAAATGGACAGGCAAAAAATAATCAGATCGGAATTGTGCATCAAGACCTGACTGTGTAAATGGGGCCTTATTGTCAATGAATTGGCTGATCCAGTTAACAAAGCTAGACTGAATGATTCAGATTCAAAAGTTCAACTCACTGTCTCACTGATAAACACAGTGTTAAACAGTCCACTGGAGCAAATAGGGTGGCTGGACTGTTCCTTTAAAAGGATAATTTTTTTTATGTTTTTTTTTTTCTACAGTCAAATTTCTTCAGTCAAATTGGGAAAAGACAAACACAAAATGACACTTTGCATTAATATCTACCTCATGTCATGGGTAACATTTGGGTTAGCCCAGGGGTGCTCAACCCTGTTCCTGGAGATCTACCTTCCTGCAGACTTCAGTTGCTACCCATATCAAACACACCTGAACCAATTAATTAGGACCTGAACACCACTTGATAATTACAGGCAGGTGTGTTTGATATGGGTAGCAACTGAAATCTGCAGGAAGGTAGATCTCCAGGAACAGGATTAAGCACCCCTGGGTTAGCCTATAATAAGTATAACAGCTTTATTTTATTTATTTTAAGTCTATGGTATGCCTATAGTCAGATAGTGATTGACAGAGAGAGAGAGGCCTGTGGACGAGTCCTGTTGACCCTTAATAGAGGCTAGATAGCAGAAGAGAGGCTCTTGTTGAGCAGGTGTGTGTGTGTGTGCTGCACTAACAGTCAGATATCACAGCACTCACACTACAGCTCAACACACACACAGAGCAGTGACAGTATGACCTCGATTCCACTTTTTATAAACAGCCATTTACTTCTGCCTGTTACTCAGGTCTGGGGTAATAGTATGATGCGTATATTTAAACTCCCTTTAAACCCAGTGTTTTTGTCCCAGTGTAAATCTACTTTGCAGTTGTTTAGTGACACCATTAGAGAACTGCAGCTAACCATCTGTCCTGACTCTTTTTCTGTTTGTTGTTTGTCCAGATACGTGCGCTCTCGTACAAAACATGACATAGACATGCGCATTGGCATCCACTCTGGCTCGGTTCTGTGCGGAGTTCTTGGTTTGCGGAAATGGCAGTTTGACGTGTGGTCTTGGGATGTGGACATAGCCAACAAACTGGAGTCGGGGGGAATACCTGGGTAAGACACACTGATGCAATCTCTCATTCACACATTTTCCACCCTCATGAACCAGGTGCTATTCAGAGCTAGTGCTATTGCTTGAATGGAGTTGGTATGACAGACGAGTCTTCTAAATAGCCCTTTGCTTTTCCACAGGCTGGAGACAAACATACTATCAACAATAGAGGACATTGTGTTGCTATTGAATTTCATCATAGATATATACGTTAGGCGTCGCCTATGCTATTGTTGTCTATTGGAATGAATGCATCAATAGAGCTGCCATTTTGATACAGGGTAGTGCTCCTTTGAAATGAATGTGGCAGTATATATATATATATATATATATATATATATATATATATATATATATATACACAGTACAAATATCTATGATTGGGAGTTTTCCCGGTGGTCAGTATGCAAATATTTTTTAAACTAGAAAAATTATAATTTTACATCACTTTTTTCTATTTTGATGGATAAGTGACCACACAGGCATTGCCGACAAATAGCATGTGTTTGTGTGTATGAAAATGTATTATTCTCCCTCCCTGTTAAATTTGATCTAATCCATATCCTGAAACACACCCCTCTCCTGCTTTCACTTCTCATTTGAAGTGAATTAATTTATGAATTAATCTCTGTTATGAATGAATTATGTGAACCATCAATATCCCTGCGTCCCAATGTGTACATCCACCTTTATGATCTAATTGGTCTATAACATTTATAATATTCAATAATTTAGGGTGGAAAGTATGCACATTGAGGCGCAGTCATTGTTATGCTATCAGGCACCCTTAAAAGTTATTTTAAAAAATAGCCGTTACTTCACTTAGCTGACAAAAAATAAAAGTTTCTGGCATCGTAGCATCTTGTCGTATTTAATTTACATTGTTTGTTGATTTTACTCAACAAAACAAGCATAAGCCTGGAATTTAGTGCAAGTTGGTGCCACTTTGCCTTATGGTCAGTGCAGTAGGTGACTGTATTTTCATCAATAACGTTACTTGTTGAGCACAAAATTTGAAACATACAAAATCGTAAAAAACAAAATCTTACCAATGAAATGTTCTGCCTTTATGCTTTGTTTTCTTTGTTTTCTTGTTACTACGCCTGTTTGCTTCGCAAAAGTCCAGCATCTTCATATTGACTTTGGTCTTCGCTAGTGCAGTTGAATAACATTTGTCCTGGGAGCACTGTACAAATATGGCAGCGGTATTGACACATGCTCAGGGTCCATATGCGATATCTATTGCACATATCTATGGAATTTCATGGCTTTTGTGAATCTATTTTTACATTAGCATTTGAATTTTGGTGAGTCCAACCTGATTGTGCAACTCACCATATTTAGGTTAGATCAAAGACTATAGAATGCACAAGACATGTCACTCGTATAGTTTTGAATGGGGAAAAGTGTAATGTTCATAGTTTAAGTTAGTATAAGAGCCAATCATTGACCACTACAGACTGATGATTCTCTGGGGGAGGGGTTCGCACCAAACATGAGTTTTTGTAGATTTTATGTGATTTCAAACATTTTAAAATTAAGCTAAAAAGACAATCATTGTTTAATTATATTGGTGAAATTGAATCGTAAGCTTGGCAAGCAATTTTGGAGAATTGTTTGTTTCCCCATTCAAACAAAATGCCCGAGCATACTGACTGAGAGGTGTTTCAAAGATGGCCACTGAGTGATTGGACTTGCCTTAAAGCAACTTTGTTTAGTTGAAGAATCCATCGAGAAAAACATATTCATGCAGTTCATTATTTATTGCAAAGATGAAGATTGCAAACGAGAATAACATCCTGTTTAATATTATTTTTAGATGCTAACTCGGAAATGGCAGAAAAAAGATTATTTTTGGTTTTTTAGTCATGATAACACTTCCTCTGACCATACCTGTCAACCCTCCCGTTTTTCCAGGGATTCTCCCGTATTTTACAGTTCTATCTATGCCTCTGACACATGCAGTTCATACTTCAAGACTTTTGACAAACAACTAGTCCTGGCTCAGTGCTGGCGTTTTGGATGTTGAAAGGCAAAGAGTCTATTGAAAAGTAAACTCTGGCTCTGAACCAGCACACAAATAATCCTTTTCCACCAAGGCAATTTGAATTCTGGTTCAGTGCCAGAGCATACCCACTAAGCAATTTTGTTAAATAGACATCTAAACATAGAATTAGATCTTTGTCTTTCAACTCCCAAAGCACCACCATTGAACCAAAAATAATGGTTCTCAAGTATCCCCAAAACATTCCTGAACTAGAAGTAATAACCATTTTCATCAATGGCTGGTGTATAGCAGTGTTTCTCAACCACGTTCCTGGAGGACCACCAGCTTTGCACATTTCCATATCTGCGTCAGAAATCGCCTACTACACAGTAGGTACTGCATTTAAATTTAAACGTACTACTACCGTTAGAAAAGTATGTTCTATATAGTATAAATGTGAGTAGTGTGAATGGAACTTGGATGTACTACATCTACATTTTGCCATGATCACGTGACTTACCCACATCAGTTGTGTCACTTTACTCCCGTTCATGAATTCTCTCGCAGGGCATCATGGGATAGTGTAGCATGCATTGGATGTGCACTTCATATTCTTGCCGGAAGTAGTAAGTCATCTAGGTACCTCTCGCATACTGTTTTTCGAGTTTTATAAATTTAGACATACTACCCAGCTAGCGTACTGATTTTAGCATTATATATAGTATGAAAGTATGTGACTTTGAATGCAGCTCATGTCTAATTAAAAAACACCTGAATCAGATCATCAGCTCTTTAGCAGAGACTGGAAGACCTGTAATGGGGGAGACAGACAAAAGGACGTCCAAAACATGCAGTGTTGATTGACCTCCAGAAACGTGGTTGAGAAACACTGGTTTTTACAGTCAAACCTGAAAGTATTCATGCCTCAAGAGACTATATATAGTATGAATATATTATGAAACTAGATAACTACATCTAGAATGGTTTAAATTGGCGAAAATCTTATTAAATTAATTCAACTAAAACTAGACTAAAGATCCAATGAATTCCGAAGACTAAAATATGGCTAAAGCTATGTCGTTTTGGTCAAAAGACAAAACTAAATCAAACCTCACCATCAAAATTAACTGCAACGAAGGTTTAGACGGCAACAGAACACTACCATTGTTGATATTGTGTTTGTTTTTGGTGCTTCCACATTTGCATTTGGGTAAAGATGTGGCCGCTCCCTAGCCTGTGGAAAAGCAAACCTAAAAAATGCACCATTCACTAGTTCAGTACAATTCATCCTGGTGGAAAATGCACATTTGCTGATTAAAAAGTAAAGGAAGGAAGTGCAGTAGGATTATCTGTTGATGGAAAATAGAGAATTTATCCCCCTCCCCACCTTCCTTGTGTAATGATGTGGGTAAAAAAATTAATTAAGCTTTTGTTTATTTTAATTTCGAAAAAGGTGTCACGTTGTGGATGTTCGAGATGAATCTTTTGTTAATTTTGGCCCCTTTAGGAGGATCCACATCTCTAAAGCGGCTCTCGACTGTCTGAACGGAGATTACGAGGTGGAGGAGGGTCATGGTAAGGACCGTAATGACTTCCTGCGCAGGCATAACATCGAGACCTTCCTGATCAAGCAGCCGGAGGAGAGCTTGCTTACACTACCCGAGGACATCATGAGAGACTCCACCAACCAATCAGATCACAGGACCTCCAACACTTCCTTCACAGAGGGAACGTGGAGCCCTGAACTTCCCTTCCATAACATAGTGGGCAAGCAGAATGTGAGTGCCATGCACACACCAGCAAACAACCACACACAAACAGGCACATATTATAGCAACCTCAGTGATTCACAAACACAGCAGGCAAATGGAGCTCGGTATCTGTTTACTGCACCTGTCTTACAGTTCAGTCTGGGCTCCTGATCTATTTCCACATCTCTCCATTTTCTTTCATGCTACTCCTGCGTTTTATGTTTGGTTTGTTCTGGATGGTTTGTGTGTCTGTGTTTTGTAACTAATAAAGTGGTTTGTCTATAAGGGCGCATGTATGTAATCAATGTTTTGTTTATTAGACATCTAAACATAGAATTGGATCTTTGTATTTCAACTTCCACCATTGAATCAGGAATAATGGTTCTTAAGTTTTTCTAAAGCATTCCTGAACTAGAAGTAATGACCAATTGCAACAAGGGCTGGTGTATAGCAGTGTTTCTCAACCACGTTTCTGGTGGACCAACAGCTCTGCCTATTTTCCATGTCTCCTTAATCAAACACACCTGAATCAGATCATCAGCTCATTAGCAGAGACTAATAGTATGTTGTATGAATATATTATGAAACTAGTTAGGTTTTAGTTAACTACATCTAGAGTGGTTTAAATTGAATTTTTTTTTATTACATTTATTCAACTGAAATTAGACTAAAGATCCAATGAATTCCGAAGACTAAAATATGGCTAAAGCTATGTCAATCTTGGTGAATCTTCTTTTGCATTCCCCTCTTTTCATGGGTTTCCTATGTAAACAAACATTGATTCCACTTGTGTCTATTGCAGTTTTATATGAATTGCACCTAACTGTTATTCTTTACTTTATGTTTAAGAATTTGTGATATTCTTCACAGACTAAACTTGAGATTATGACAACTATTCAATCCCAGTGGCTTTGCAAGGATGGCTTAAATATGAACCTGTTCTCTGATAGCGCTGTTTATGAAGTGAAGGTTTTGGAAACACTTTTCCTTGTTGTTAATGTAACCCATTGAAAAAAATGGTGTATAAGCAAAACTCTATAGATCCCTGTATGACTTTGTGTACTGTAGAACATTTCTTTTAAAAGTTCTAGTGGACTGTTAGAAGTGGACATGGTTCTTGAACAGCGTTCAACCCCCACATATCTGAAACATATACAATCCCTTATAACTGAAATCATCGCAGAATATCCTGTAGAGCAGTGTTTCTCAACCCTGTTCCTGGAGGCACATCAACGTGTGTACGAATGTACATATTTTGGATGTCTCCCTTATCTGACCTATTAACTTCAGCTTTTGGAGTCTGTTCTGGGGTCCGTTCTTCGTAACTCGCTTAAATGATCTGAGATTTTTTGGCAGATCCTGGATCTTTTAATCTTGATAACTGATCTCTCGCTAATTTGGTTCTTCAAACAAGTTCGCGAATCAGATTAGAATGTCTGGATGAACTGATCTGAGATCGCGCGTTTGTTATGAAGGACAGATCTATCGATCCTCGAAATCATGATCAGCAATGCAACGATAGGCTGACGGCACAGCAGCGTAATGACATCATCTGATTAATATTCAATTATCCATGTGAGCAAAATTACATCAAATTAGCAGTAAACGGTTTGTTAAATATGACACGCAAGAACTTTCCACATTTGTTGTGAGCTGCAGGCTTTACACTTTCATGTGTCAAGACAAGAGTATTCATCATGTATTTCAATGCAAATCAATGTATTTAGTTCTACATTTAGAAAAGATTTTCTTTATAATAGTAGCCGTTTTTTAATTGGTGTAAAGAATAGCTGGTTGTTTACAAAAGCATTTTCATATTGGTAAAGGCGTCTGCAACTTTTGTGAAGCATCAAATCACTGGCATATTAACAAAACATGTTTATGACTGCATAAATGTATTATTGCTTTAAAAAGTCACATATTGTGCATTTCTATTATACACAATTTGTACTAAAGCGATCTAAAAAGTTCATATCAATAAGTTTTGTCTTTGTACTTTCATTTCGAGGGTGCAGATTGCATACGTTTTATTAATATGTATTATTTATTTTATTAATGACTATAACTTTATATATATAGTTAAAAAAATATGTACCATTTTCCCAAGTGTATATAACTACTACTGTAAGAAAATATCAGAATTCGGAACATACTTTCTGTATTATCTTTGCTTGAACTGAGCCGATCTAATCCTGTTTATGTGAATTGAACCTGCTCCCGATCAGGTTTGACCTAGCAGAACTGTTGCCATGACAACAACTCTCGGATCAGCTTTGAAGAACGAAACGATCCTGGATCTTGTCAAATCGTCAATATCCAAATCCAGTTTACTGATTAATCCACGTACGAAGAACGGACCCCTGATGTTCTAATGAGTTGATTCAAGTGTGTTTGATTAGGAAGAGGTTGAAAGTGTGCCTTGTAGGTGTGCCTAAATGTAAGGCGAAGACTTAGTGGTAAGTTGTAAGGTGAGGGCTGTATGCTGTGGACTTCTCAACAAGCAGGAACAACATTCAAGTGGGACAGTAGGAATGAAACTCCAGTTACAGTGAGTTCTCGTTGGTGAAATACAGTGTCCTAGTTCTTACAGTTTGTGGATGGATAAGGAGTTTGTGAGCTCAGAAACAACATTGTGAACAACGCTGACCGATATTGTTCTTGTTAGTTCTCAGGTTTGTAGTATGGGATTTGTCTTCTTGAAGGTTCTCATACTTGACTGTACTTTCTGTCTGTAGAATATTTCTTCAACTACAAGGCTACTTGACTATAACAAGGAAATACAAGTGGATTATCAAAGTGTACTGTAGATGCTAAAGCATGTTCTAGAGGGTTCTAATAGCTGTTAATGAGTTTATTTAATTCATACAATGTTTATTTCTATAGCACTTTTACAATGCAGATTGTGTCAAAGCAGCATAACACTGAAGTTGTAGTAAATTGAAACTGTCAGTCCAGTTTTCAGAGTTGAAGTTCAGTGTAGTTCAATGTGGTTTAAATTTCACTGCTGAATGTCCAAACAGAACAAATCAATTGATGTGCAGCTCCACAAGTCCCAAACCAAGCAAGCCAGTGGCGACAACAGCGAGGAATAAAACTTTTCCAATTGACAAAAGTTAAGGAAAAAAAAAAAAAACTTTAGACAAAACAGGCTCAGTTGAGAACGATCATTTCTTCTCTGGCCAAACTTGCTTTGCAGAGCTGCAGTCTAGGCATTGGAGGCTGGAGAACATTGGACGTTCAATGTGCTTATTATTAAGATTATTAAGTTGATTTTCAAACTGTATCTTAGCTGATTCTCAAGGTTATAAGGAAGGGCTCATGTTTTAAAGAGTATTCACATTGTAGCTGTAAGACAGCAAAAGTGTTCTAGTGGGTTTTCAGGAATGTAGGGTAATATAGGGCTTTTCAAGGCTATTCTAGGAAAAATTCACAAGGACACTAATCCCAACTAACACAGTTTTTGAAAGTTCAATAGAACACTTTTCCTGCCCTGAAGCCTTGTCCTAGTTGGGTTTCAAGGGCAGGAAAAGTGTTATGGTGAGTTTTCAAGGCTGTGATTTAGGAATAGTGCCCTTCTGTAGTTTTAAGGTTTTAGGGATAGAATAAAAAAGTGTTGCATGCAGAACTGTTGCAAACTATTTGTGTTGAATTTAAACAAACAAATTAAATTGAATAATGTTCAACTTAATTTGTTTGTTTAAATTCAACACAATTAAAGGGTTTACAACCACTTAGCGTAAAAAAAAATTAGTAAATCTAAGGAATCATCTTTGAATAATTTTTTTCAGTGTAGTGTGGTTTTAAAGTTTTAGGGATAGAGAAATGTTCTAGTGAGTTTTCAAAGGCTGTAAGGAAAGAATACTGGCCATGTGGGGTTTCAAGGTTTTAGGGATAGAAAATCATTCGAATGAGTTTTCAAAGGCTATAGAGCAAGAATACTGCTCTAGTGTGGTTTCAAGGTTTTAGGGAGTGAATAATGTTCTAATGTTCATGAGTTTGAGACCTATGCTTTGGGGCAAGAATAGTCCCTAGTGTCGTTTCAAGGTTTTAGGAGTATGAAAATGTTCTAGTGAGTTTTCAACGGCTGTAGGGCATGAATACTGTCCTAGTGTGGTTTCAAGGTTTTAGGGATGTTCTAGCGTGTTTTCAAAGGCTGTTGTTAAAGAATAGTGCTCAAGTGTGGTTTTAAGGTTTTGTTGGTAGAAAATTGTTCTAGTGAGTTTTTTTAAAGGCTGTAGGGCAAGAATACTGCCCTGGTGTGGTTTCAAGGTTTTAGGGGTAAAAAATATTCTAGTGATTTTTTTTAAAGCCTGTAGGTCATGTGGTATCAAACTCAATTCCGGAAGGGCCGCAGCTCTGCACAGTTTTGCTCCAACCTTAATCAAACAAAGCTGATCCAACTAATCAAGGTGTTCAAGACTAGACACTACTGGATCAGCTGTATTTGATAAGGGTTGAAGCAAAACTGCACAGAGCTGCAACCCTTCAAGAATTGAGTTCGAATCCTATGATGTAGGGCAAGAATAGTGAACTAGTGTGGTTTCAAGGTTTTAGGGGTATAAAATGTTCTAGGGAGTTTTCAAAGGCTGTGGAGCATGAGTACTGTCCTAATGTGAGTTTTTAAAGGCTGTATGGCAAGAATACTGCCCTAGTGGGGTTTTAAGGTTTAAGGGATGTTCTAGTGAGTTTTCAAAGGCTGTAGGGCAAGAATACGTAGAGCCCTAGTGTGGTTTCAAGGTTTTAGGCATTTTCTAGTGAGTTTTCAGAGGCTGTAGGGCAAGAATACGTAGACACCCAGTGTGGTTTCAAGGTTTTAGGGAGTGAAAAATGTTCTAGTGAGTTTTCAGAGGCTGTAGGGCAAGAATAGTGCCCCAGTGTGGTTTCAAGGTTATAGGGAGTAAATAATGTTCTAATAAGTTTTCAGAGGCTGTAGGGCAAGAATACTGTCCTAGCGGGGTTTTAAGGTCAAGTTCTGGAATTGTGTTCTATTGAGTGTTCAAGTCTGTGCTATTTGGGAATCATGCTCC